TGCAGAGGTTTCTGCTTCAGTAAGAAACAAAATATATTCTCAGTGAATAGCAAATGATTGGGGGGGTCAACAAAATATTTGGTAATGTTATTGATTGCCCCCCTGACCTTGTACGAACTCCTATGTGTCTCATAACAACAAGATTACATTTGTAACCCCTACCTACCTGCCCGTACCCTCCGTTCCTCTGGCTCCGGTCTGCTCCACATCCCCCGCCCCAATCGCCCTACCATCGGTGGCCGGGCCTTCAGCCTCTCAGCCCCGAGGCTCTGGAACTCTATCCCCCAGTGCCTTCGCCGCCTCCTCCCTTTCCTCCTTCAAGGCCGGTCTCAAGACCTTTCTCTTTGACCGTGCCTTCAGCTCCCCTCTCGACTCTCTTCCCCCTCCTCGCTCCCTCCCTTCCCTCCCCTCACCCTGACCATTTCCCCCCTGCTCGGGTCCTGACCCAACTGTACAGCGCCTTGGGACGTCCTCCCGACGTGAAAGGCGCTCTATAAATGGAATCTTGTTGTTGTTGTTGTATAGCGCCTTTCACGTCGGGAGGACATACTGAGTTAGGCGCATGGGGGTCAAAATGATATACAAAAATGACTGATATAAATTAAGATTTCTAACAATTTGGGGGAAGTTAAGCAAAACCAATTCATGCTTTAGAATTTTTTGATTTGGGATACTGTGCCTATGTCCAGCCCATGGAAAGGTGCTGAGTTATCAATGTATTCGGGGCAGACAGAAACTGTCTAATTGTACCTGTGACATCAAGACTATATTTGCAACTGGCTCTTTGCAACAGGGTAGACTCTGGGATGTATTTGTGGTGCACACTACAAAAGTTGCTAGAAAAGGGAGTTTCTTCCAGTGTCCTCGTCAACAATCCCCCAGCTAAAATGGGTCATTCACTTAATAGCTGTTTGTGGGACACTGGTTGTTTGCAAATTGGCTCCAGTGTTTACCTACAAATATATATTCACAACACTCCACATTGAAAATCCTGTGAAGAGCTTTGAGACATTTCGACGACCTGATAAAACGTTAATCAAATGAAGAACAATACTTCATGAACGCTATTTTACAAATACATGATTTCTTTCAATTCCATCTAAAATTTACACATTTCTCACTCGTGTTGTTTTAGCTGATTCTATGCCAAAGAAACAACGCATAATACTTCAGATGTGTTGCCTGTTTTTTTTATATAACAGACTTAGTAATACATCCCAAAATCTACTTCTCTTGTGCAGCCTTTCCAAGAGTTGAAGGCCAATATCCCCAAATTAATACCATGAAGTTTCACATGAATGAAGCTGCACATTGTTTTAAAGTCACTGAATTTGACAGTACCCTTTAATGGTCACCTGGCTTCTGTTGTTCTTTGGTGCCATCTAGTGGCATTATTTGGTATTAGATATATATATATTCACAACACTCCACATTGAAAATCCTGTGAAGAGCTTTGAGACATTTCGACGACCTGATAAAACGTTAATCAAATGAAGAACAATACTTCATGAACGCTATTTTACAAATACATGATTTCTTTCAATTCCATCTAAAATTTACACATTTCTCACTCGTGTTGTTTTAGCTGATTCTATGCCAAAGAAACAACGCATAATACTTCAGATTATGTTGATAGACCTCAAATTTAGCTTTGGAGCTGTTTTGGGAAATAGATAAGACTTCTCTCTTATATATTTTTTTGTGTTTTTGATCTCCGCTGTTTACCTACAACCGAAACATGCCAGCACTAATTTTATCAATTCAAAATGATGCAGCCCATGTACTCAGGTTAAGAAAGGACATGTCAGTGGGATATCTGTCAAACAATACACAGCCTAAAACATTTCCTCATATAATGTAAGTATTTGATCATATGGTTCAGACATTGAAAAACAGCCACAAATAAATATTCAGTACAGGTTGAAATATGCAAATTTATTTTGTATTTAACACGGCCCTGCTTCATGTCCTCCACCCTGCTGTCAAAGGGCAGGCTTTTAGCCATTCCGCCTCTGCTCTCTGGATGTCCATGCTCCGGAGTCCTTGCACTGTCCCTCTCTTCATTCACGGCCAGCTTTAAAGTGTATCGCTTTTAATCATCTTTCTCGTTCCTCACAAAATATAGTGTCACAGAATAAGAACCTATTCTACATCAGGAGAATCTCCCTTCTCTTTTCAAATAATGCCATAGAATCTTTTAACATCCACCTGAACAGATGGGACTTCAGGTTAAGGTCTCATCTGAAGAACGGCATCTCCACATCTTTTTTTCCTTCCAGACTTGACTTGACAATTCACCGGCCGCTGAGGTGCCAGACAATCCAGCATTCCATTCCCTCTCGTACACCAGGACCTCCAAGATCTCCAACATCTTCCTCATCCTTGCTTGGCTGCACAGACTTCCTATGCCTCATCACTATGATAAATTCAACAAGAAGAGTTGGGAGAACTAATAGAAACCCTGGGTTGGATTTGAACTCAGATCCTAGAGATGAAAATGTGCAACTGAACATTGCCATCCACCTCTTTAAAGCATTAATTGCTCCCACATCCGCCCAAAATCAAATCAATCACAAAGAAAACATGGCTCTGGAAGCACTCAGTGCAAAGACCTCCATTTCCTTGTTACTGAAGTACGTTTCTTGAGATACTCATTTATTGAACAGTGTCCACCTCAGATAATTGAGCTATTCATTTGAAGTTCCCAGTGCTGGATCACAAATGTAGAATGACATTAACGCGGGTTTCTGTTTTTCTATCATGGGGGGAGGGAGGAGAGACTCAGCAAAATAATTTGAACCAGAACATTTTTGATAAATTCATGCTGTGTAGATTCAAAAGTAAATAAGCTCTGACCCGCAAGTTGAAAAAACGTGCCACTGACTCACCGTTGATTGGTTGAGTACACAAGCATAAAGGTAACTGAATCTGTTTGAGCTTGAGTACAGTATGTAGATAGAACCACAGATTTAGAGATTAGGAATGCCCACTGGATCTGTTTATACAGAGTCTTTCCTATCACGACAGTGACTCAAAGCTGATTAGCCCAAGTCCAAGTTGGGGGTGGGGGGTGGTGGAAGCAGGGGCCAAATATGCAGTCGAAAATGTAGGTCTTAAAGCAGATTTTGAAGGTTGGGAGGGAAGGGGCAAAATGAAGAGACTCCGGGTTGGAATTACAGCGAGCGGGGGCAGAATGGCTGAAAGGCATCCACCAGCTGATGGTGGGGCAGGTTTCGAGGAAGACATGAAGCAGGCCGGTGTTTACTATGCAGAGGGAGCAGCCAGGGAATTAGGGGAGCTGGAGGTTGCAGGGATAAATTGGGGGAGTCATTGGAGGGATTTGAAAGTAAACAGCAATAATAGAGATTAACAGTAAAACAGAATGAAACCAAATTAAAAACGCAGAAAAAAATATTTTCCAATAATAAACAGCACCCAGTTATCAAATGCAATTGTGATCATACAGTAACACTGTACATTGGCAGTATACACACTTAGCTTACAGTGTAATCTCGACTAACTGTCAATGGGTGGGGAACCTCCTTCCTTTGTTAGAGAAGTTGGAGGATAGTCAAGGTCTCACAGAAAGGTGTTTGTTTAAAGCAGTTTTTTCAGTCCCCCCCACCTCCCAACAAAAAAAGATCCAAATCACCAAGCATATAAGAATCAAGCAGTGAGATAGATTTGTGGTAAAGAAGGGAAGGGGTTTGTAGGTACGGCTCTGCCCTTCACTGATCTGTTGCCGAGCACCCTGGACACAGAGTCAGTTTCACAGAGGGCACATCTGTTTACCAAGGGCCTTCACACAAGGACAAGAAGTTGGATTTATATAGTTCCCTTCAAGTGGGGTTGCGTCCCGGAGCACTTCACAGTGGTGGAGCCTGACAACAGGCCAGGGGGAGGTGACCGTAAGCATAATTAAGAAGGAAGGTCTTGGGCCTCTAGAACACAAACTGTTAACAGGTCCTTCCACTATGGTGAAGGCACTTGTCTGTCCAGTTATCACTCCACAGCTGCTGGGAGGCATTACCTGCAGTCCATGTTTGTAAACATTATGAAGGGCTTGGAATCCACCTCCATTGGTTTGCAGAGAGATAAGCAACTGTTGCTTCAGCTCTACAACTCCAACAGGTGGAATCATTGCTCAAAGGGTAGGGAAGCTTTTCCTATTAACTCTGCAAGCCAGAGCCCTAATGGATAGGTTGGTCCTAACTGGTTGACCTCCAGCAGTACCTCAAAGCACACACCGGGGTCCTTCCAAGAGTGCACACTTTATCTCAGGCAATTTACATGCATGGGTGGCTTGCAAACATGGAACCTAGTATGGTTTGGATACTCAAAAGCATGGTGATGGGTTTCTGCAAGTGTCAAGACACCCAGCTGACCAAAAAGAAATTAAAGGCAATGGGCTGGTGAGTTGCAAGTCAGTAGAGTCTGACTGATAGGTGTGAGTGATGCATTAGAGAATATGGGGCATAGTGACTTGGATACGTTGTAAGTTTCAAACGGGGGAAACTTAAAAAAAAAGGCTGTGGATGCCGGATCCATTCAAATTTTTGAGACGGAGGTGGATAGATTTTTCTTAGGTCAGAGTATCATGGATATGGAGCGAGGGCAGGTAATTGGAGTTGAGGTACACATCGGCCATGATCTTATAGAATGGCGGAATAGGCATGAGGGGCTCAATGGCATACTCCTGTTCCTATGTTGAGAGGCTGGTGAGAATATAAAAGATCCTTTACGCGCCAAAGGCATGAAAAANCATTTCAGCTGTTGAAGGGGTGAAGCAGGAGTTGGAAAAAGAGAGTATTGGCAACAGGGTGATTGTGAGGATTAAAGGAGACACAATGGGTCAAGCTGAACACCAAAACTGCATTGGTTGAAGAAAGTGGTATGAGCAGCCGGGGAAGTTGATGAAGTTTGAGGTAGAGGCAAGAAGGCTCTGGTGAAAAATGAACAAGATAGGTTCAGAGCAGAAAGAAAGGTTCAATAGTCCTTGCAACTGATTGAATTGGTTACTATGTCCATGTGTATTTCTTTTTATTTTTCATTGCACAATAAGATCAATGTACAGAATTTTCTGAATTGTTTTGTGGTAGCTGACAAGTCATAAACATCCACATGAAACTTACGTAAAACTGTACAAGATAACAGAAAATAAGGAATGTAATTCACAGATTTCCTCTTTTGAGACTGAAGGTGCATAAATTAGCAAACTGGTTTGATTGCAAAACAAATGTACACGTGCAATATGCTCTAAGTGAGAGTAAGGATGGATGGAAAATGACCCAACAAAAGGGCATTTAATTCAAGCCCTATTTGTTGGATGAAAGATCCAGTTCCATACATGAGACTTAATGAGAAACACCAAAGAAATCAAATACCAAACCACAACCTATTACCTTACAATGCCATTAGATGTGCCTATTTTTGCATGTGAAAATTAATTGTAAAACAAACATGGAGATTGAAAATGGTTCTGTTAAAACCCAATGAATTAGGAATCAAACTTTGCTATTTAGATACCAGCTACATATAGTAGGTAATGCTAGATTTATAGGAAAAAAATAAAAGTATCATTCAATGGGATAATTGTGGGAGATTGAAAAACAAAATAAATTATTTTGATTACTCCATCCATAGGTGATTCATATATTTTAAAATGTAAAATTCTCTACTGCAGATCAATTTGAAACGTACACATATCCTTAGTACTTCAACGTAATTGCTTTCTTAAATGAAAAGTAAACTGCTACTTATAAAAAGTCTTACTTTTGAATGAAAGTATATACTATTGTATTAATCATGTATAAATATTTTAAAACATCACTTGCAAATGTTAAACAAATTTGAAAGTGTATTCACTTTTAAGATCTTGCATGAATCGAATGAGAAAGAAGTTTCCAACAGGTCAATGTACGGCCAAATTGAGGGACCCACTCAAAGGTTAATATTTTTTCAGCTCTCAGAGATCACTTCTAAAACCACCAATTTGTTCTGTGCAAATCCACCAAGAAATGCAATAATGCCAATGATTTTGCTGAATGTTTCAAAAAGATAACAAAAACTCAATAGAATTCAATATTGCATCATTTTACTTCCACCTTGGGACAGTGAAAAAGACCACCCATCACTGATGAATTTGGGGTCCCCTCCCCCAAAGCTTTTGCTGGTCTGCTAAAGGAATTTTCCCCATAAATGGCCTTTTGCAGAATTTCTATAGAAAAATTGGGAGAGAAACACATTTTAGCAGATGAGCAAAAGCTCTGAAAATAAAGTATTATTAAAAGGCTTTTTACAAACAGTAATAGATTTGGTTTCCACTACTTTTGAAGCAAAGTTGAGGTAGCCCCCCACCCCCCACCCAAAAAAAACCCACAGGCTTAAAACTAGTCTTGAAGTTAGAAAGACATGGACTAGTTAAATATCTTGTCAGTAAGCATGGATACTCATAGAGGGGGGAGGATAATTTATAAAATTCATGCCACAAGTGCTTTACAAAATTGAAACACTTTCAGATTTGTTAGCTAGACTGGATATTTTTAATTTTTTAGAAAAACAATTTTCAGGAAAAACATTACAATTTGGCAGAAATACTAAGCAAATTCAGCTTCATTTGCTTTTAATTTAACAGAACACTGAAAGAGACTTGATGCACATCACGTGTAACACACAAACAGCAGCTATTTCGTGCATTTCCATCAAAAGATCAGGGAAATGAAGAACAACAGACCTACACTGAAAACATTTTTAAGGAAATATATTTCTCAACACATATACTTCATATTTATATAATATTTTCAAATACGCTGAAAAAAAATCTTTCTTTAAAGAAATCCTGAAATGCCAACCAAGAGGATAAAGACGCTTGCTCATAAACAACTTCCCTTCCAGGAGCATTGTGCATGAAGAATCATGGGAAGAAAGTGCGACCCAGGCAGCATGCCATCGCAAAAGGTACTCCAGATGTACAATTCTGCCTTTAACTGTAAACAAAAATGCACCATACACAGTAAATAAAAAGACATGATTACAAAACTCTTAATAAAAAAAGAAAACTTGAATATGCAAAGCTTGGCAACAAATGACAACAACAGGAAAGTGTCTAGCACTGAAGGCTGTCATGCTCTGAAGAGTGCATGGAATTTCACAATGAAATAGACTCACAGATCTCTGCTAGCCAACGATTTAAAACATAGTGAGTTATTCTGTCGACAGGGACAATACAGCTTCTGAGGTTTATGTGATGAATTTAATGGGTAACACATGCTAATGGAACTCAAACCAAACTCCGATGTTCATTTTATTTCCTTTTCGCAAAAATTAATATGAAGAAAATGCTTCTGCTGGAACCAGCAGTATTAGGAAGCAACAGATCCTCCCTGATCTTAAGCTATAAATTTCCACGCAACAGCTGAGTTGAACACATGCAATGATCCATAAACAGGAAAAGCTGGGGATTTCACACATTTTATCTCCTATGGAAAGATGCTACATGGTCAGGAAAGGGGAAGGTGGAAACAAATAGCATGAAGAATTATGTACAAAATAGAATTTACACAGCTACAGCTTCTTAGGTACATTCCATTTAGTCTACGAACAGCTTTCTTAATGCAGCTGTTCCCAAAGTATTGCACCAAATATCACCTTCATGTACTGCAATATGAGAAGCATACCCTGCACCAACAATATACAAGGAGGAAGCAGAAGCACCACCTTGTGGCAGCAGGCTTCGCTTTGAAAATATATTTGACTTCATATATGATAGACTATTTAATCTTTATGTTGCACAGAAGATTCCAAGTGCTTTCAGTAAACTTAAAATTTGTCTTATGGCATTTCCACATTTTTGCTGCAACCTAAACACACATCTGTCAGTACAGTAGTTTATTTACATCAAAATAAACCAAACATCAGCTCCCTCCAATTACTCTTTCCGACTGATTGCTCTCTGAATGCAAACCCATAATCTTTCGCCCATTTCGTTCAGAACTTCCTTTTCTGTCAGAACACCCCTTTTTGTACATAGAATCAAAATTTGTTCCTTATAAAATAAAGGTGAAAAATAAATACACACTTTGTGGTCCTACAAAACACCCTTAAGGTTTCAGATGGCCAGATTATTTCAATTTGTTTGGCTAACTGAACTGGATCTAGATAGTAAAGTACGAAGTTAGTGCAACAAATGGACATGTATTCAAATGACAGGATGGAAACCTGGCTACCATAATACTTGAAGGGTGAGTTTTGTAGAACGCTTTTGGATTCAAGTTTACATAGTGGCTCAATGACAGTGATACAGCTGTTGTTTCAAAAAGGATTTACATTATTAATAACCAAATGTACATTCTATAAATACATCAATACTTCTAACAGGCTTGGCCTAACAAAAACTAACAATTATGCATTCTGAATGAGTAATGTTACAGGCAATGACCAATATGAATTGAATCCATAGCAAATTAATGTAACCTGCATTGAGAAAAAAAAACATGTCATTCGTCCTATCAGCATCAAATGCAAACCAGCATCATGCAAATAATTTCTTGGGCTAGATTTGAATCATTCTTGGATTCTTAATACCTTGCTAAATTTATTTATCCTCTTGTTTTGCATTTATTGGCGTCTGGAGTGAATGCAATATTACATTTATAGCTCCATGGGTGAAACACTGGCAGAGACAATAGCACAAAACATTTGGCATGTGAAGTAACACAGAAAACCCAGCTCTGCCCCTTGTGCCTCTTGTTCCCTGCTCAGGTCCAGAATGTACACCAACCCACAGCTATAGTAGAAAACACTTTCATGTTCCAAGTTTTCAGTTTCCTCCTCAGTTGAAAGCAATGTGACTGAGGTAAAAGTTTATGATTTGTGCTCGGAAACAGCTGTACTCAAAGATGAATCTCCTGTCTTGCAGAAATAAATGAAGAGGAGAAGAATCATCTACAGATAACCTCCTTCCAGCTGAAGCTTTTAGGTAATGTTGGACCAAGGTTATCATAACTGGTACCACTTCTTATCTTTGTACTTTAACATCATCTGTAAAGAAAGGGCACAGATATTAATGATCACTGCAAAGTACAGATTGAACGCAATTAGTAACAAAGAGCGCATCAACTCAGGATTGTCATAGAATCATAGAATTATACAGCACACAAGGAAAAGTTACTGGGGAAAATTTCAGGATGTTATTGGATGCGGAATGCTTTGCCAAAAGTAGCTGTTGAACACACGATTATAACATTTAAATGAGAATTAGATAAGTATTTCAAAATAAATACAAAGGGGTATAAGAAAAGTACAAGGAATAGGGATTGGAATATACAGGTGGAGCAAAGGAACAACAATGGTTCTGTAGTTTTTTGGAGAAAATCAACCTATTGTCATTGAGGGGAATAAAAGAAGCCAGGGAGCAGGTACGGAAAGGACAGTAGAGACTGACATATTTGTTAAACTGAGAATATAATCAATGAGGCAGATAGAGAATTATTTGGCCTCAACCGAGAGATTGGGATTATAAATTGAGGCAAACACAAATTAAATGTAATTTGAGAATTAATTTATTCCAATTAACTGAACAGACCCTTACCCAATGGAGTTGTCGAAGGGCCGAAACAGATTCATTGTTCCTTACCTCATGAGCATGTTTAGAGAAAGTGTCTGCACTGTATAACATAGCTGCTGTTCTTTCTTCCAGCTCACTGAGCTTCTGCCCTCTTTCGTCCAGTGCTATCCTGGCCCGTGCGAGCTCTCCAGCAACACCAGTTGCTGCTCCTTTAACACCTTCAATTCCACCAGTTCCCGGAATATGCTGGGCCAAGCTCCTTGAGGGTCTCCCTGCTGCAGATTCTCCAACTGGTATGGTAGTGACGAATAAAAAGAAACCAATCTTTAGTACAAATAGGGATTTTATTAATCAACAGATTCTACATTAGCTCTAGAAAAAACAATTAGATAGCTATGGAAATACAGGAATTTTTGTTAGTAAAAAGTACTTTACAATAGTCTAGAATATTAAAATGGTCTAAAGTATAAATATTATATTAAAAAAAAGTTTTAAACCAGCACTCTAGTTGGTGCCAAAGTAATAAAAAAAAATCTGCATTCAAACTCTCCTTTAGATCAATGCAGGTTTGCTGGGGTTGATCTGTACAGATCCTCCTTGGAGATTGATGAAAGAGAGAAAATTAAAGTCGTATTTCAGACTTGGAAAGAAATGACAGGGACTACAGGTCAGAAGTTTAAATCATATCTGAATATCTCTAATCCTCAAAACACAGAACTCATTGACACATTAGACTGTTAATTTTGGAAAGATCTTTGTCGTTGCTAACATGTAATTCGGATGGACAGTAAGGTGTGTATTCTGGGAGAATTTGAGGAAATCCTCCGAACCACTTTGGTGATCTTTATCTTGTCAGTGAAACCAATAAGGGCTAACACAGACCTGGGGGATAGTCAAGGACTGGCACGAGGTGAGACACGTAGCATTAAGAGGGCAGAGAACAGTTGGAAATGTGCATCAGTGGGGGACATCAACCTGAAATTTCCAGAAATTTTAGTTCAAAATTTTCAATAAAATTTAGCTCATTGACAATATTCTATTGCAATAACTCTAGACAGAAAGCTTTTGCTTGAATGACATATTCTTATGGTACTTTAGTATGATGACTGCAATATTTTCACTTTCACTCGGGTCAGTGCTGATTATTGTGGTTATGGGGTTTCCTACTACGTTAAAATGGAAAAGATAAACTTAAATAAGGAGAAAGATTTAGAAAGAGAATGGTGCAGATGGGCAAATGTAATTCATCGAGAAACGCCATCACTAACATTCTTCTGCCAAATTCCTTATCACAAAAACATTAATCAAATTTCTGATCGAGAATTAATATTCAATTTTTTTAAAAAATGCTGTATTTGTCACTATTGCTGAAAATGCTTAGATTTCCGTTTGAAGATTCATGGGTGCGATGTGACACAAGAACCTCAATTCCACTTTGTCTACAATAGGCATTTCCAGGCTGGGTTGAACAGACCTTTAGGAACCCATCTTTCAGTGCATCAAACTCCAGCTATAACATTATTATCACACTTACATAGCTCTTCTCGATCAAGTGACTGGGCACCACCACCAAACAAGCCTTTAAAGAAACCTCGGTTTGGTGCTTCTGGTGTTTCTACAGGAGTAAACAGTTCACCTAACATTTCCTGAAAGAGAAAACAAAGTACAAAGTTGCATAAATACAAAATTGTAGCCCCTCGCCAAGAAGCAGAATTTTCATACAAGATACTGTGGATCTCACACCGTGCTTACCTGTAGATTCTCGCATGTTTCCTGGCTGTAGGTTATACGTTGGATCTCAGTAGGGGATACTAGATACAGAGCCTGACCATTGTTGGTGAAACAGAAGGTGCGAGCTATTCGCATGTCAGTCAGTGGCAAATAATTGACATCCAGCAGTGGCCTAATGCTCGGCAAGCTTCAAAAGAAAGCATCAGAATTACCTGGTTAAAAAGGTGAACTAATGCTTTGCTGTCAACAGCATTAAACTGCAAAACAAATCCAGCTGCGCCTGAGTTAAAAATAGTACCAAGGCCATGAATAAGCTGTATTAAAGAAATTTATGATGGAAAAATTATGAATGTAAATCTAATGTTATAACTAAGATCAGATATGAACAATTTCTGGTGCAAAGTTAAAAATGCTATGACAATCATGAATAAATTGCAGTGAATTAAAATTTTGATAGGAATAATTATGAAGACAAAGTTCATGGGAAAATTAAAATCTACCTGTTGTTCATAATTCTTTTAGCCTGAAAGGTATACAATATCAATGAATAAGCAAACGGGTCCATAAAAAAAAAACGAAACCCTGTCACTGCAATGTAACTTCAACCCAAAAAAGGCCACTACACGTCCACTAAACAACAGAATACATTTTCTACAGGAAATAAAATCACTTATTAGAATTATGGCAAGTCACCTTACAAACAGTATTCACTCAATTTAAATAGCTTTGCAACCATCTTAAAAAAATCCATTTGGCAAAACCCTGTAAAAAAAACATGCCTGTGTGCACTTGTGTACAAACAATTTTTGCCACATAGAAACTTTGATCAAACGTCAAATTGATGTTATGGACCAAGCCTGAGAAATTGTAGTGATTTTCAATTATAAGTCCTGCCTAAAACTGAGAATCTTTATTCACTGAAGATAGGGCTCCTCCAATTGTAGTGGGTAGTGGGTCACTAAGAACTCCAAACAGAAGAGATAATACATCTACTATTTAATTGGAACAGTCATTCTAATGCTATTCTCATGATATTACAAGCAACTTTCAGCTACAGTTAGACAGATTATATACTCCACAAAACATGTTTTTTATTGAGTCCATTTGCTGGTTTAAAAACCTTAAAAGCAGGAATAATAGGGTCAAAAATGCATTTGTTTGCAACGGGGATTCATCACTGACTGCGAATGCTTGCCAGTTCCTGGCAGTACATCACAGCAACTCGTGGAAGCCCCACCTCAAGAAAAGTTTGCTCATGAACTGCTCTTTGATGAGCGTTGCATCTTTCTGAGCCTGGCTTGCTTTGTTGTATTTAAGTTTACAACACTATGAATGACTTTCTGCAGCATTATGCTTTAGGTAGTTCCACTGAGCTGGTTTTTACAACTTAACTAGAATTTGCTGTTCCCAATACAGCGAACGTGCAAAAAGCACAGTATCACTGCAACATTGTTTTGGTGCAACATAGTTCAAATAAAAAAATCAGAAGCAAATTAAAAATACAAGCAAATTTGTTTCCTCATCCCTCTGGGTATGTTGTACATCTCAGAATCTCCTCTCTTTGGGCCTCATGACATAATGTGGGAGTTCTGCTTGTGACTATTAGTTAGTGATGTATAAGATTCTAGTCTCAGAATAAAGTATCTGACCCCATGTTGGGCAATTGACGTTTTCTAATATATTTAAAAAACGAAAAATAATTTACAAAGCAAACATTTACAACTTTGGAATATTCATTTTGCTCAGACATGAAAACAATCATGTTTTGCTCCTTTCCTCTCCAGCTGCGATCTATTTGCATGAGCATTTCTGCCCCATTTAGGTTAAAAAGAAACTTTCCAAGTTGACCTCAAAATAAGATTATATAAACATTTTCATTATGCAAATTTCTTATCATGATGTTTTAGTTCAACTGAATAAAGCTTTTCACATTAGTAGCTGTTTTCCATGGGCTGTGTAAACAGTATGAAATTGCATGTTGTCATTTCATTGAGAAGCAAAACGCCGAATGCCAGGGGCAGATTGTGTTGTTTTATAGCAAAATAATTGATTAATTATTGCCTGAACAACCTGGTAATGCTAAATGTGCAGCTTGCAATGTCTTACAGTAGCCTGGACTAAATGGCGTCCCTTAACAAGAGTCATCATGAACTTTGTACAGTGGTGGCATGTCCTTTTGAGAGCCTAAATTGAGCTTCAAGTAACTATTCTGTATTGCAAGCTACAAATAATACTTGCCTTTGATATATCGCTTTATCACATCATCGAGACGTCTCAAAGTGCTTCGCAGAATATACTGTGAAGTGGATTGACTGTATTTTGGAGGAGGAAATAGCTGAACAAATCCTTTTATGATTTGCAGCACACAGGTAGATAGCAGTGGGTAGCAACCGCTTTGTTACTCGCCTCTCAAACTGGATACTATTTACATAATTAATACAATTTAACTTGTATTTCATAAAATACCAAATCCTCAAGAGTTAATTGGGATAGAAATTTACAAACAACTGTGTGTAACCAGCGACTACTTTTTTCCTACAGCTACTATACTTTTTTTTAAAAAAAAGCATCTCGTCGAATCATTTTGATCTTTCAAATAATTTTGAAAACCTAAATTCCTTTTCACCCTTTGTTATTTGAACCTGATGGTTTCCTTAGCTTGCAGTAGCTGTCTGCCTGCAAGTTTCCTGACAATTCACAAGGTAAATGAGTTGCTTTTCAAGTAAATGTTTTTCCCAGTTAATTGAATTTCCAAGGTAGAAGCTGAAATATTTCATTTCAATGTAGAGTCTGTGAATCCTCTTCAATGCATTTTCTGCCCTTTCTTTAACGTGGGATTCTATTCTACCATCGGGACACCAATTCAACCATTGATCGTCACGCAAATGTGGTATTAGTGTGGCATTAAACTTTGCAAAGCAAAGCAAGAAAGATTTTTGAACATATTCACAAGGTAAACAAAGGTCTATATATCTTAGAATATGAATAGTTTCAAAACGGGACTTCAATCTTTGATTATGGTTTTCTATATTCTTTGAATGTCATTTTGCCTTTACATGCAAATTAATATGTAATCAACTAAAAAAAAATTGAACTGAGACACATAATCAGTCCCAGGTGAAATCTTTCCAAGCATGTGATCTTACTACTGTATATATGTTTTAACTCATCTTGGTAATGTATCTCATAAGCAGAATAAGCAGCACATAATGAGATCTTAGTGGTGTAAAATACAGGATTGGAATATTGCAGGTGGCAGGAGAAAAAGGAATGAAGCTGAATGAAAGATGTAAACACATAACACAGAAAGAAGCCATACACAGTGTTACAATAACAGTTTAAATTCTCACCCATCAAAATTTTATAGCACTGAGATAAACAATTGTATGTGGAGGAGAGCTGAAACTTAAATATCTAAAATGTTACGCATCCCATTCCAAACAACAAGTCCCATGAGTCCCATTCCAAACAATTTTTTTGTTATATTTGAACATTAAACTATTTTTTAGGTCTGTTTTCTCATACTTTCTCACTATACTTTCAGTCATAGTTTCAGTCCACTTTTGTTACTCACCTGAATTCAATAGCAAAAGAAACATTAAAAGAAAATACTGAATACCATTACTTTACAAACATTTTCATATGTGCATCACCCAATTATCTTCCCTTTGACCCCACCAGATCATGGACCATGATTTCAGTTAAAAATGATGGTGGTTGAGTGACTGTAGATAGCTCCACATTGCCAATGTTGCTCTATGTAGAGCTAATAGGGATACTGAAGTGGAAACTAGAGATAGAACAATTCCCCGTCCCTTCTGCAGGGCTGGGGGAAGAGAACACAGTACAAAGCGGATTCCAAATCAGTTCTCTCAGCCTACGGCATAAGCTGCCTACTGTGTCCGTGTATGAGTGCCTTAAGGAAGACTTTTTAAACCAAATAAATACTGAAAAAAAACCCTTCCAAATTCAAACCTCTAACATCTTTTCAAAGCTACAAGTGCTTAACCTCACTGTGAGTAATTATTAAGATACAAACTTGTTACTTTAGATCCTTATTTCAATCTGTTACCTGAAAGTCATGATATGTCCATTGGCACAGAAGCAAGCGAGGCAGATGCTCCCATTCAGTCCCACCACATCAGCACGGAGAACAAATGATGTTTCAGTTATATTGTGTTTATAAATATAGTTTTGGGATGGCAGTGAGATAACCTTGGCCTGTTTCTCTGAACAGATCACTGCGTATTGATTTTCACTTATCTCCTGAGAGGATGAGGGAGAAACTGACACCGGTCTCCTTTTCCTACATTTATCTTTGTCATCTTTATCTTCCTGTACATTTGGTTCTCGCCAGGGTTCATGTGCTGGATGAATGAGGCTTCCCGTGGTATCCAGAAATGCCATTCGCAAAATTGCTCCTTTTAATTTCAAGATGGTCCCTGTGTAAGACAAACACATAAAACATACTGTGAAACTAGACTGAACTGTACCACATGGTACAATGTTACATAACAATGCCAAACTGGATTTCTATGAGTAGGTAATAGAAGATCGTTGAGACGTCTCAAAGTGCTTCACAGAATATACTGTAAAATGGATGACTGTGTATTTTTCGGGTGAAACGCGCCAGCCAATTGCGCACAAGTCTAGCACCACCATAGACTCTGCATGGCTCCAGGAATGGTTACTTCCTCTAATCCCAATTTGCTGTCTTCTTGTCACATCTTTTAATATTTCTATTTCACAAACATCTGACTTAATTCTAACTCCTAACGCAATTTGTCTGAACTAGGTATTTTATAGGAGCATTTTACATTTACATCTGCTACATTTACATCTTTTACATTGGTCGGGCTACTGGGAGAAATTCCCTGCTCTTTTCAAGCAGCGCCATGGGATCTATAACATTCACCTAAGTAGGCAGAAGGAACCTCGGTTTTGTGTCACATCTGAAGGAGGGCAACTCCAACAGTGCAACGACGGCTCCCCCAGCACTGCATCAGACGATGAGTTCAAAGTCAGTGTGGAGCTTGAACCCACAACCTACTGACTCAGAGGTGAGTGGGTTACCAATTAGTCAGCCTGTTACCTTTTAACTGGGGAAAAAAACTGGTTTGTTACTGAACAATGTGGGAATCATTTCCGCAGTGTTGTACATCTAGTTTTCATCTGAAGATTAGCAGGATGATGGCTTTTGTAGTGAGCAATGTTGATTTTAAAAAGTCGGTAGTCTGGCAGCTGAAGGCTTCAGTTCTCATGGCCGACTTCTTGTACTTCACCACAGAAAGCGGTCTTGTCGGGAAAACCGATCATCTCACTGGCCATAAAGGGAGAGTAGAGTCTTGTGTGCAAGTTGGTTGAAAAACCCATATGCAAAATTTGCAGGTTAGATTAATCATGTATCATGTCATTACTAACCAGTGTAAAGCATTACTAAATCACCTGGAACCTTTTCATTGGCTGTTAATTACACAATCAATAGCATCTGTAACTTCCAGATATTTGCAAAACAAATGGTTAGCAGAACAAAGCTTGGGATAATGAAATGGATAGTTTCATTAAATCTGCTCCTTCCATGTGTCATTCAGTCTTGTAAAGATTTGCATTGAGCCTCGTCGATTCCAGAGAAATAACTCCAGAATATTCATCCCTCTCCACTATTCCATCCTAACATGCTATGCACCACAGAAATTAGCCCTTCCTTGGTTCGAGCAGTATAAAACTTATTGCATCACTTGCAGTATCATTCATCTTCATCTGCACCTCACCCTTTATAACCACTAATTCTGTTGCAATTCATTTTTTCAAGGACTTCATTGCCACGTATAAACGATTTTAATTGGAAATCTGCTCCCTATATTCAATACTGTGTGTCTATACAATTTGTGTGCATGTGTGAATCTATACTTTGCACATGCAATACATTTGGAGAAACAGAAGGTCTATTCCATCACTTCATTAGATTATGGCAAATATTTTCATTCCATTTGTCTTTTGTCCAAATTCTTTAATAACTTAGCTTCCTAAGTCTTCTTTTAAGCATCCCAATCTACTACCTTCTAGGGCAGATTCTCACAAAGTTCTGTCAGGGCATGTTTTCTAATTTCTAGTCTACACTGGTTTAGCTTCATGTCCTTTAATCTTCAAGGGATATCCTAAAAAAAACACAGCTATAGGTGTATGAAGATAGCAAGTAGGACTGAAAGGATTGCTCTTGAAGTGGCCGGCACAGACACAATAGACCAAGTGGCCTCTTTGCCATAAATTTCTATGGTTCTTGTCTGGGCTCATCGTTCAAGACAAAACAAACTTCTTACATCTGCATATGTTTTGGTAATCTTCTCTAAACCTCAATGAATAAATGCCCCATTTGAAGGTAAATTCCTAAAATGAACTTAAAATAAAATGATGCCAGTTACAGTATATCCTGTGAAGTGCTTTGAGAACTCTGGACAATAAAGAGCTTTACCAAATGCAGGGATTATTATTATTATAGTGGACTAGTAACTTTTTCTGCTGTAATTCTGTCTTAATAAACTAATGTTCCATTTACCATTCCTTGTATTTAGGATTCCTTTAAAATATAGGCATGCAAAAAAGATAATACCCGAATATCCTTTGCATCACTCTCAATGGTTGAATACAGAGAATTGCTATTGTATTATGAAGTCTCTTACCACTGGGAGACACAATGACAGGCTGAGTGAGTCTCTGGTCTCCTCCAGGGGGCAGATTCAGTACAATAACCAGTACAGTGCCCAGTGTCGTCCCAACCCATAAACAAGGCGAAGTGCTAGCATCTGCCTTTCGAGTGTAAGTGTCACAGAAGTGAAGAGCTGTGATAGCCTCTCGGGACTCCTTGTCGATACTTGTAACACTGGAACTGCGGGAACGGCTGAATGAGTTGTCTCTCACATCTAATTTTGAAATGGTAAAAGTAAGTCAATCACTGAAATACACCAAGGTACACAAACATATTGGCAGCATAATATATTTGGAATTAATTAGACACAGAATTGTGAAATTGCTTCCACTAGAGTAACATTTCCATTATTTGTATTATTACAGTTGAATTGGGATATAACTTGCTCATATTTTAACATGTGCTTCATGGTTATTTTATGAAATAAAAAGAGATGCATATTTCTATTTAAATGCAAAGTGTCTGTAATGGCACTTGAAAATGTAATAATAAAAATGCTGTGAAAAGTCCTAATCCTAACCTATGTTACTGATGTGGAATGCCATGCCAAGTAAGGTGGCATAGTAAGTAGAAACCAATGTTGGTTTCAAGAGGGAAGTAGACAGGTATATGAAAGATAAAGGTCAGAAGGAATATGAGATGAGAGTAGAACAGTGAGGTTGAATGGTCACCTTGGTATTAGAGCAACTGCAGACTTGATGGGCTGAATGACCTCCCGCTACCCTGTAAATTTCTATGATTCTACAAAAATAAAACTGGAGAGCTATAGAGAATACGCTAAGAATCAATTTAAAATACACTTAAAGCCATTTTAGATTTTCTCAACGGCAAGGCAGGGTCCCACTAAAATTAATAGCCCACTAGAAAAGAAATATGAAGCCATTTAATTTTTTTCTCGTAGAGTATTGATTTTAACTTTGATTCTTTGCCTTGGTTCAAAGCTGGGTCACTGGCAGATAAAGGGGAGAATAAAAGGCAGTGATACAACTAATTAACTGCTTAAAAATAGTACATTTGTAAAGTGCCTTTTAGGTTGGGAGGACGTCCCAAGGCGCTGAACAGTCAGGGATCAGGATCCCAGCATGAAGGGCAGGGTTGGGATGAGGGAGGGCAGGGGAGGTAGGAAGGCGGCTGAAGGCACGGTCGAAAAGGAGGCTCTTGAATCGTGCCTTGAAGGAGGCAAGAGAAGCAAGGCAAAGGGCTGTGGGATGGAGTTCCAAAGAATGTGGGCAGAGAGGCTGAAAGCCTGGCCGCTGATGGTAGGGTGGGCAATATATGTGGAGACCTGGAGCAGGCTGGAGCCTGCTGAGCGAGGGAGCGGACAGGTTGATAGGGGGTTAGCAGGTCAGAGATGTAGGAGGAGGCAAGGCCATGGAGGGCCTTGAAAGTGAGAACAAGATTTTAAACTCTATTCTCTGAGGGATGGGGAGCCAGTGGAACCGGGCGAGGGTGGGGGTGATGGGGTCACGGAGCCTGGTACAGGAGAGGACACGAGCTCCAGAGTTCTGGATGATCAGTAACTTGTGGAGGGAAGAGTTGGGGAAGCCGACAAGCAGGGAGTTTCCATAATCGATCCTTGAGGTGATGAATGTGTGTTGAGGGTTTCGGCGGCCTGAAGGGTGAGGCAAGGGCGGAGTCAGGTAACATGGCGGAGGTGGGGGAAGGTAGAGCAGGTCATGGCACGGATATGGGGGAGAAAGGATAATTGTGGGTTGAACAAGATGTCCGAATTCCTAACTGGCTTGGTGAGGTGTGCAACCGTGGATGCTGATGCTGCCAGTGCCTGAGGTGCTGACAATCAGCTGTAGAAAGTTGACTCTCATCCAGGACTTTATGTGTGACAGGACAGTCTGTCAGGACGCCAGTTGTCCTGGAATCGAGGGTGGAGGCAGAGATAGAGTTGGGTGTCATCTCCATACATGTGGAAGTTGACCCCGTATCTATGGATAATATCACCAACATGTAGTGGTTGAAGAGGAGGGGACCAAGGACAGAGTCCTGAGGAAAACCACATGAGACTGTGCGGGGGCTGGAAGAGAAACCATTGGCGGAGACAAATTGTAAGTGGTGTGAAAGGGAAACCTGAACCATTCAGGACAGAACCTTGAAGGTTGAGTTGAAAGGCGGTAACGTTACAAATCTCAATTTATTCAGTAAACTGTATTTTGCATAAATTTGATTATGGAGCACATAGCTTTAAAGATATTGTTCAATACTATTTTGATGACCTTCCCTTCTATACTTTCTTCACTCACCTTTAACTCTGTTCGAAAGGGCTGTCCCTTAATCTTAAGACTGTGACCCCTAGTTCTAGATTCTCCAACCAGGGGAAACAGTCTCACACTGTCTACTCTGTCAAGTCCCATAAGAATTTTATATGTTTCTGTAAGATCACCTCTAATTCTTCTATATTCTAGAGAATATTGGCCTAGTTTACTCAACCTATCCTCATAGGTAACCCCTCATCTCAGGAACTAATCTAGTGAATCTACGCTGCACCCACTCTAAGGCGAGTATGTCCTTTCTTAAATAAGGACACCAAAACTGGACACAATATTCTAGGTGCGGTCTCACCAAGGCCCTATACAGTTGCACCAAGACTTCCCTACTCTTGTATTCTAACCCTTTTGCAATAAACGCCAACATGCCATTAGCCTTCCTAGTTGCTTACTGTACCTGCATACTTACTTTCTGGTGTACAAGGACACTCAAATCCCTCTGAACTCTAACACCATCTAGTCTCTCGCCCTCTAGAAAATAACCTGCTTTTCTGTTTTTACTACCTAGGTGAATAACGTCACACTTCTCCATTATATTCCATCTGCCACCTTCTTGCCCACTCACCTAGCCTATCTATATCCCTTTGCAATCTTTTGGTGTCATCCTCAGAGCTGACTCTCCCACCTAGCTTAGTATCATCCATGAATTTAGATAATTTAAGTTCTATGTCCTTGTCTAGATCATTGATACAGATTGTAAATAGTTGAGGCCCAAGCACTGATCCTTGCGGCACTCCACTAGTCACATTCTGCCAATCTATGAAGGACCCGTTTATCCCTACTCTCTGTTTTCTTCCCGTTAGCCATTCTACGATCCATGCTAATATATTTCCTTTAATTCCATGGGTGCTAATCTTGTGTAGCAGCCTTTTATGTGGCACCTTTTCGAATGCCTTCTAAAAATCTAAATATCTACATCTACTGGTTTCCCCCTATCTAACCTGCTAGTTACATCCTCAAAGAACTCTAAAAGATTGTTAAGAATGACTTCCTTTTGTAAAGCCATGTTGACTCACCTAATCATGTTACGATTTTCTAAGTATCCCACTACGATGTCCCTAATTAAGGATTCTAGAATTTTCCCTACCACTGATGTCAGACTGACTGGTCTCTAGTTCCCCATCTTCTCTCTCCCACCCTTCTTACATAGTGGTGTTAAGTTTGCGATCTTCCAATCAATGGGAACCGTTCCAGAATCCAGAGAATTTTGGAAGATCAAAAACAAGGCATCCACTATCTCAGCAGCCACCTCTTTTAAAACCCAAGAATGCAGGCCATCAGGTCCAGGGGAATTGTCATTTTTCAATCCCAATAGTACTAATTTTGTTTCCCTAGTACTGACACTTTACTGATGTTAATTTCCCTAAGTTGCTCACTAACATTAGCTTCTTGGTTCTCCTCTATTTTTAGTAAGTTTTCAGTGTCTTCTTCACACATTTCATTTACTCCATTCTTCCCAATTTTCTGCCTCTCCCTATTGTCTCCACCTTTCTTCTTTAAACAGTTAACTCTGCCACTTAATAAATTCTTCAATATATTTTTCTAAATGAAAATTTACAAAGGTCAAAATCAAATCTACAAAGAAGAAACAACCAAGATAGACAACAAAGAAATGCATAGAAAAGAATAATTACACACTAAGCATTGATACTGTACTCTTCGTTGAGCTCATTTTGGTAAATAAACTAGTTTTACTTTAATTTTAATACAAAAATGTACAAAGACCAGTATAATTTAATCTGATTTTGTATACAACAAATTGTTAAGCACTGCACTTTTTAATTACTAGAGTGGGAAGTTCATAGACATCCAGCTTGCAGCAGTAATGGGAAGGGAAGAAAATTTAGTAAACTGTATCAAAGTATTTGAACCTCGACAATATTTATTATTTCTAGACATGCAAAAATATTAAAAGTATATTTCAATACTGGTTGCAGTAAAATGCATTACTAACCTAAATCTGGCTTCAGTTCAGTTGGCAAACTTAGTTTTCTTGACATCTTTGCTGGAAGAAAAAAAGATTAGGTTTAGAGCAACATACAATCTATTTCAAAAGTAGGGTCATTAAATAATGTAATTCTCCCTGTAAATAAGAGAACATTAATCAGCCAGAGTTCAGAGTTCTTCATTGTCTAACAGATGTTAATACTACCTTCATGTCTTGAGAGATGTGCTTCTCCTCTGGCAAGGAAGCCAAATTTATACTCCCTGCTTAGAATGTGCAGAACATCAAAATTGAAAGGTTGATTTTTAATGTCAAGAGCTTGTTGGGTAACCAGCTGCTTAACAATACTTGAAATGGCCTGTTCAACATATCCAATACTATCTACGAGTTGTATGTCCTACAAGTTAGGAGGAAATTCAATGTTTATGTTGTGCAGTTGTCATTTTCACTGTTCCAGCACAGTTCACTGCGGCTCACCTCCTCTTGAACATTTGGCAGTAAGTAAATTGCCAAAGTGGCGGTGACTCGCTGTCAAAGATGGAGCATATGGTCTACAGGTTTAATAAGTTAGTACTGTACCATTGCTTCCCTTTAAGAGGTTCCATTGGAATCTTGCTGCTCCTAGAAATACATGAAAATTAACCCCGCATACTGAGTTGTCACCTCCCTCACACATTTACAGGAGCAGCCAGCTGATCATAAATTAGCATTTTCATTTTATGCTTGAATACCACAGTGGAACAGCTAGCAAGGGTATTAAGTCTTTTCCCACTTATCTCCTCTGCAACATGTGACAGTATTTCCATACTAAAACGTCACATTTCGAAGACCATGTGGAGAGTGGAGGTTTTATGATTCATTAGAAACCTTTTGGGGGAAATAAAGGAGTAAAATCTTTTATTGTTTTGGCCTCCATGGTACTTTGTGAGATATTGCTGTGCACGTGTGACTGCCACATTTCGCCCACAAAATACAGTCAATCTACTTTATAGTATATCCTGTGAAGTGCTTTGAGACATCTGAACGATACAAGGTGCTACATAAAGTATAAGGATTATTATTTATTAAATCATTTATTAAGCTCAGACTTCCCTGTTAAGTGCTCTCTAGATTCAATATGGGAAAGGCCCCTTTCAACTCCAAGCAAACCCAAAACTCCCAACACACATGTGCGCATGAAAATGTTGGCATCTACCTCACCGTAAACCTTAAAAAGATTTTTTTTTAAAAAGTCAGTCGATTCAGAACCTGGAAGTCACTAGAAAAAGACAGTAGAGTGTTCTTGCTATTTAGCTGGCTTTGCACCAGCATATAGTACCTATATCCTGGGCCAATGGAAAAGTGCAGCTGCACTTTTTCTGCGGTATCTGCTAGAAACGCTCTCTTCTGTTACAAATCTGTACGCGCAGTATGCTAAGCCCCAGGCCTCCGCATGCTGTTTGTTTGATACTGCTACTGTGGGTGGAGCAGCTCCAGTCGCGCACATGTGTGTTGGGAGTTTTGGGTTTGCAGCGCGAGCAGGAAATTGGCCTCGCTCGCTAGTGAGTGAACCTTGATAGAAATAGCAGCTGTGGACACTACTGCTGTCTATTTGCTCGACACCCGGCCTAAACTGAGTTACTGCGATGAATACTTGGTAAGTGCTGTACAACAACACTTGGGCGTTCAGTGCTGGTGGGAGATAGTGTACTATTCAAATTAACATCTTAATATTTTAAACGTAACAACATTTTCAGGAAATATATCTCTATAGTTTTAATCCGGGTTGTTTCACAAAATGCATCTCTCAATAGCATCAATCAACCTTCAGTGTGAAGTATCAATTTTCCACAAAATTTGTCCAAAGCCTTTTGGTAAATATTTCTGCAATTTTCTATTGGCCCAGCTTATGTCCTAACTTAATAGTTGGGTAGCAAGCAATCAGGAGCAATTGGCCATCAATTTGCTGCACTCTAAAATGTTTGCAAAGCCCTAGCATTTCATGAACTTCCTCCACCAGAGATGTATTTTCTTTTGTACAGAAGCTTCAAAGACATTGCCTGGAGTCAGACGAGGATGTGCAAGCAGAATTCTTTGGAAAGGTTACACTCCCACATTAGAAGTATTCGGGGGCGGACTGCTTTACATAACTTAGTTGTTTGCAAAGTATTATTCACAGGCGAAAATGAATTGTTCTTAGCAGTTTTTATTTGTTGTGTATTCTATATGCAACCAAGCAGAGGTTGCATAATCAGGATCTGTTGATTCTGACAGGTTTCATGTTCTTAGAGGAAACTTCAAGTGGTGAAGATGAATAAATAACTGCATATTCTCAAAACTATGCTTATGGACGTTCCTTTTAGCACAGAGACATTTCATATACCAGCAATTATGGGGTATATGAGACAAAGTGTGGAAATTTGCCTCCAATCATAGCAATGACAAATAGGCTTTTTTTGAATACTTTTGAGACAACAATTTTGTTCTGATTCTGCTTTCTAGAGTGCCTCATATTCACCAGAACGACATTTGAATTAGAATTCACTGGGCCCTCAGAACATCCTTAAGATGCCCAATTCTGATACCCCTTTAACGTTACAATTCTTGGTGTTTCTCAAGTCATAAAAGCCAAAATAACCTGCTTTGATAGGGTATTTGGAGACCGACTGTGGCAAATGTATCACATCAAGACATTCATGTGTCACCAAACCGCAATTAGACTATTTATATGACCAAATAACAGTATAACATGCTTGAAAATAAGACAACTTTGCTGCTGGCTTATTTTGTGTGATTCTGTTTCATTGAACAAGGGAAGGTAGGCAGAATAAAGCGCTTCCTCTATTGTGCATCATTAAAATGTGCTTTACCATATCTCAGAGTTGACAAGTGAAGTCCCCCCCCCCCCGCCCACCCACCAAAAACATTAACACAACAATTTGCTGTTTACAAGTGTATGGCCATCTTAATGTCCTTGTCATACTTATATAATGACTAGCTGTACCGTTGCAGCTAAGTTTGCAACCAAAGGATGCAATATGGAATGTAGTTTGACATACGGACAGACATTTCATCTTTATCTAGACTTATCTGGGAGGACTCCTGTGGGAGGACTTTGTTCTTCAGTTTCATTTAATGGGCTGGTCTCTTTTGTCTAGCATTTTTACTTATCCTTGAGAGGTTTGATTTTCGCTTAGGCATCTTTATATAATGATAAATATAAATATAAAATCACTGGGACGTCCTCCCGACGTGAAACCTGCTTTAAAAATTCAATTTTGTTGTTGTTGCCGCGCCTCAGCTTCGTCCGTGTTTATTTTGTTCGCGCCGCCGCTTGGCTACGTGCATACTGTGTGACGCTGGACACCACAGCGCTACGGTCAGCCGGCACGGCCACCAGGTATAACTGCAGTGGGTGCGTATATGCGTAGGCGCTCCGTGATGCACGATGCCAAAGTGCCACTTTGTCTCGGCGGCCACCAGGTGTAACTGCAGCAAAACACATAAAAATGAAATAACTCAAACTATAGGAGATACCCCAAAACAAACATGCCAATATCACTCCCAGATAGAAGACCTTTCCGATGAGGTACAAACCATGTCTCTACGTCAATCGGTTATTGAGATGCTTCTTGAAGCGCAGACAAACATTGTTGTTTTATTAGTATAGATTATTAGTATAGAAGATAACAGTAGAATACTGCAGTGAATGCCATTGTTTAGCGCCTAAATCTATAGTACAACAACAACAAACATCCGGCTAACCAAAAAAAAGTGTGGCGATCTTACCAGTGAATCGTATCAACGGGCTAAACTGAACAAAATTCAGGTGAAATGTTCTCATAAACGAAACAAGAGATGTTACAGAATTACCAAACCAGTTTTAGTATGCTACAGTACAATATAATTTCTATTTATATAGCACCTTTTATGGCAGAAGTCTCAAAGTGCTTAACACTGCTGGCTGGGCACGTAACCTGGAGTTAGAGAGAAGAAAGGTGACCAAATGGCAAGTCTTAAGACAGGCCTTGAACAAGGGAAGGGAGGCAAAGAGTAACGCTGCCTCTCCTGTGCATCATTAAAATGTGCTTGCAATTTTTCTTATCAAATACAATTTTACCAAGTCACTTTTATTAAAAACCATGGAGGTCAGTATCCCCAACTGTAGTAATTAAATGTTAAATGTGGAACAGTCCTCTGCCCCTCATTGTTGATGTGAAAATAGTGCAGACATCAGTTGTGTTACTTTGCATGTCTACTGCTTTTTCTTTCACTGCTTTGCAGTTTGTATCTTGCTTTAATCCAGTACTTACCAAGATATGGATCTCTCCACCTGCTAGTTCAATTGCGTATCTAGTAACTTTGCACACGTGTTCAACTAAAATTTATTTGCTAACACTGCAGTCCGACTTCATTCCCTACATTGGAGGTCCAATGCAGATAAGCAGGGAGTAAGATGAGGTTAGAGATGTTCTACTATATGTGACATTCCTCGAGAAGTATAGAAGTGGGAGTCTTTCTCAATCGCTATTAGTAAAGCCACAGCTTAGAGTGAAACTAAGCCAGAGACTTGAAAGCTATAAGTCTCTTCCCTTTTCTGAGTTAGTTGCTCAGACATTGTAAAAGTTGTGTGGTTTTGGATCCCCGGGCAACAAAAGAGAACAAAAGCTGTCAAAGTTTCCACTTCTGGTTGCTGTCCACTGATCCCTGCTGGAACATGTGCGTGTGTAAATGTTGAGTGAAGACAGATATGCCTCGGTCAGTGGAGCCTGCCTAGCTAATGGGCAGCCAGTGCCCATACACTCGGATGAGACAGTACCTTCATTACAGGAGGAAATAAAATCGTACAAGTGAATGACTGAACGAACACAAGACAGCAGAACAATAACACCTTAACAGCTGCGAGACTACTCGATAAACCATAGAAATTGCCACCGTCATAGAGCCGGAAAGGCTTCCAACTCTCAACAAAAACTGATCAGGTGAAAAATCTAAAAAGCAACCGATACACCAAGTAATTACAGTTCCAGGAATGTTATCCTTAATAGGGTAAAATCTTCATGAATAACTTTTTGTTTACAGTGGAAATAAGGGTGAAACAAATCGTTGTGTCACTTGTGTGCGAGGTTATAAGGAAATTTACATGCAACACTCCTCTTTCTCCTTGCCCAAACTCTTCATGAAGACATTGTCCTTTTAAGCTTAACATCTCGCTTTATTTTACATGCAGGCATTTTAATTTCCCTTAATATATAATAATAATCCTTGCATTTTATATAGCGCTTTTCATGTCTTCTCAACATCTCAAAGTGCTTCACAGAATAGACTGTAAAGTGAATTGACTGTATATTTGTGGGCGAAACATGGCAGCCAATTGCGCACAGCAGCGTCCCACAAACAGTCGTGGATTGAAAATGACCAATTTGTTATTGTTTTGTTTTGGAGGGATTATTATTAGACTTCCTATAGGGTCAGGCATTCACATGTGGAAACAGACAAACGGAACACATTTCTAAGGTCACGAACAACATTACAGCGCTACACAATTAGTTTGACAACATGGTGTGTAAGTAAGGCTCTATCAGGAGTGGTCTGACCACAGAACAAATAGATCAATCCACAAGTGAAGGCACGTTCCAGTTATTTTACTCTTGTGAAGGTGAGTCACATTGCCAATTCACTTGTTAAAAAAAAATGCTGCAACTTACCACTATACTAATGTATCATTCACTTTATACCACTGCTGTGAGACTGTTGATTTAAAAAAAAATATTGTTGAGTCTCCAGTCACAAGTCATTCAGCTGTAGGGACCGAGGCAGGTCCCAATTTTGCTTACATCAAGTGTACCTGTCTATATGCACTTCAGAAAACAATACATTTCAGAAATGTGTCAGTGTGAGAATAAAATGATGGTTCTGTGCTTCACTGGTATTGTAACTGTCAGAATTATTTTAATTTTGTAAGTTTGCCACACCATCTCTGTATGAGGGAAATGCTTTATATTCATACTCGATGGGTGGCTACCAAACAGTGACCTGAATCCGAAGCTGAGTTTCTCGTTACAATTATGTAATGGTGAGACTGCAGTATTAAAAAAGTTTATTCACTGTTGTACTGTCATAATACCAGTGCTCACGCAGAGTACACTCCATATTTGCTCTGTGATGAGATAAACTGTTTTGAAAGCTTATATCTGATATAATCTCTACCTGAACAATTCTTGAGATGGAAAAAGTCTCTGGAAAAAGTTGAAAAGCCTCTTGCTTAAAATAATGTTGAATGTTAAAGCACACACCAACCTTACACTTATCCAATTAAAATAAAACATTTCACATATTTTATACCATAAAGTGGCTTAAAGACAAAAATAATCACATGCAAACGATTTGGTCTTCTTTATTCATTAGCACACACTTAAAGTATTCAGTTGGTTACGACAGTATTGCATACACACCAATACATGTACAGTGATTTATCTAAATGATTATTTATAGAAACACTCAATTCTTAACTAATTATTTTAGATACAATTCATCAGCAAGATCTAAGAGATAAAGCCATTACATTGCTGATTTGACGATTGAGCTTCAATTTCCTGGTTTTAGTACAAAATTATAGCTATTCCCGATTTTATATATGAAGTGTATAATCAATCATGCTCTGCACTCCCAGATTCGGAACAGCCCAAAGCACTGTGTGGATTAGAAAGCCACCAAGCAGTGTGCTTTGATTATTTGTTGCATTCTGGTTAGTGCTTCAGAAAGAAAGTTATTAGTAAAATAGGGAATGATTGTTTCATACCTAGATCAGTCACTATGATCTTGGAAAACTTTCTGGTTTTGGTTCTCACTGGAAAGTATAATATTTTAAAATATGTGAATAAAGAAACTAACTCTGAAGAGCATGGAAAATGTCAGGTCTGAAAAGATATTGCATCATAATAAACATACTATACCCTTGTTTATAAAATTAGGACATTTTTGTTCATCTTCAGAATTGCATGGAGAGGTGGAACCTATATAGGAACATATTAACAAGCAATACAGTAAATACAGATATATTCATCTTTCTCCAGTTTCCCCTTTTCCATGCTCATCATCTTAAATGTAGACGAATCCTACCACAACAATTTTAGCTCAGCAACTATTTAATAAAATGCTTTAAAACTAATGTTTTTTAAATATAGACTAAGCTGATGCTCCAATGCAGTACTGGACTTTTAATGTCCACTTGAACAGGCTGACAGGAGCTTGTTTTCTTAACAACTCATCGAAGGGTACAATTGAGTGCACCCCCAGCACTGCAATGGAGTGCCAACAGAGACTGAGCTCAAAGCCACAGCATGCAGCTCAAACCCACAATCTTTCAATTTAAGAGGCGAGAGTGCTACCAGGCTGACACACAAGGGACTTGTAATCGCACACATTAGCATTTATAATCTACATTTGCTCAATTTAAATAAGGCAGCAATGAATTCAGTACTCAAGTAAAAACCAATTGCAATCTTCTGATGCAAAATTAAACAAAACTAAGTTCTAAAAATTGTATTAATCTACAATTTTATCTTCATGAGAAAAACTGAAGAATTCAAAATTGGTTCTGACGCAGATTCACACAAGGAACCCTTAATCCCATCATTTCTAACTTTCTAAATGAAACGGTGTTAATTGATCAAATGTTCACAGATGATACTTCAAAAGGTAAGGCCTAACACAATTCTTAAACCAGACACCAATGCCAATTAAATCAAATCCCATATTCCCAACACACATACATGGTTGAATCAAAAGAAACAAGAGGCCTGTTGAAACTGTACTGGTTACCTGGTTGCAATCCCTTGGCAATAATCAATGGAAAAACACAGGAGGATCACATCTCCAATACATTACCTACCCTCATTGAGCTCCACAATAATATTTGGATATTTGGGTATTTTCACACTTGATAGGTCTCAATCCCTTTCACTTCTAAAAAATATACTGCAGCCCAAGTCACTTGTGAAAAAAGATGAATTGCACTTTACAGTGAAGGATTAATTGTCCAAAATTGATATATAGTTTGTCAAAGTATTCCAAGTGACACAAAACTGCATGCCAGGAATTGTATGAAATGAACCAGTGAAAGAATGTAGAGCACACAAAGGAAAGTTTCTTCTCAAAAGCAAGAAAACTGATGGCTACAAAACATAACACGAGGATTTTCCACTAGAAATTATGTCAAAGAAAAGCTGTGGAGATACAAATGGTGCTGAAGTTCAAGGAAGCTTTTAACAATACCCTATGAAAGAACCATGAACACAAAGGTTATGTCAGGTCCGATTTCTGTCTCAGTTATGGAATATTGTAACGCATGCAATACAATTTTTTTTATTGTCAACACTCAGTTTAGGTTACTCAAAGATGAAGCATTTCAAATAAGTGTACTATTATTTCTGAATGTACCTTTATATGCTCAAGCTATTAGTGTTTTATTGTGTTTTGCCTACCAACTACTAGCAACATAATCCTGGTAGGAAAATAAATTGTTGGTAGGTCTAATGCTGAATCAGTCTGCACTCATTCCCATGAGACAACTTCTTTGGCCATATCCTAAATTCTTTTTTCCATCTGGCCTTCTGGCTTTTGTGGAAGTGTGCTCAATTCTGCAGCATGAGCTGGTCTGTTTTATTTACTTTTCAACAAACTTTCCTGATGTACGACTGCAAGCACAAAGTGCTTCCTTCACACCTTGGCTTATGCTAATCTGCACATCAGAGAGAGAATGGATATCATCAGAAATCTTATTGATGGGAGATGGTCAGAATAAAGTTGAGTGTGCTGGGGTAAACAGTGATGTTTGGTTTTCTTGAGAACACCAATTGGCATGTTTCAGAATTATACCAGGGACTTCAATCTGCAGGCTCACTACAGGAATGTCAAAGGTGTTCATCAACAACAACAACAACATTACATTTGTATCGCGCTTTTCAAGTCGGGAAGACGTCCCGAGGTCCTGGAAAGTGAAATCATTCCAGCATTAATCATAATCACCCAAAATATGTTCTTAGTACCATACCTATAAAATCATTCTTTACGGACTTCCAGCTATACCCATTTTTAAAAAAAAATTTAAACAGTAAAAAACAATTTTCATCTAAATGTTATTTTAAAAAAAAAATTTGACGATTGTTTCCATGACCCTCCTAATAATGTGACCTGAACACTCCTTGCTGCAATGTCAGTTCCAGGAATATGCACGCAAATAATCAGGTTCTATAAATGCACATACAATGCAAACAAGCATTACATTACTCTTGATTTCCATTGTTTTAGACGCCTTTTAGACCAACAAGCATGCTACAGACTGCTGTAGAAGAGCTTAACCAAGCAAATTGGATAGCTTGTACCACGGGAAACATGCTCCTTTTGTTTAACGATTCTTTTCAGATAATTCTGAATTCTTCTACACAGAAATTATGCCCTTGAAAGTATGTGTAACGATGGAACAGTCATGGAGGAGGGTTACCAGAGAGGAATTTTTAGAACTGATTGGAACATTTATGGACTGGAGAAAATGTTTATTATTGCTCTACAGACAACAGTTCATTTACTAAACCTCGACAGTCTTGGGGATATGACTCCTTCATCAAACTTCCTTCATCAGGCTTCTGTAGGAAGTTAGATTTACGAAAAGCTGCTGAGTTGAGGCATGATGAGTGTGCCTGTTTTAACACAAGTTAGTTCTTTGAAATATCTGATCGCCAAGCTTCTCAAATCATATTTCTGGATATGGTGGCCTTACTGTCAGACACTTTAGAAAGGATGATTGTATCTCATGAGCAGGTGGAGAATTGCTGATTCAAAAGATAATTTAGTAGTTATATTGGCCATGCATTATGTATAACATTTGTAATTCTGCAAGTATAATTCATTTTATCTTAAAACTCAGCGGAACACAAAACAATAGAGTGTATATCACACGTACAGGTACACTTACCCGATGTGGGTGATTTACAGCGATCATCTGAAGTTACCGAACCCTCATTAATATCACAGAGACCTGTTGAACAATGTGAAAACGTTACAACAAAGGCAAACCTACTTTTAAAGCTCAATTTTTCAGAGGCAATAAGACAACCAATCTTAAAATTACTATACAATGAAAATACTTGAACACAGAATACAATTTTGACACACTGGTATAAAAATAAACTTAAGTTTACATCATAATACATATACTTGTGTAACAAATATGTATATTGTCATCATGAAACTGGGATAAAGCATTAACTTAATTCATGGAAATGTTGAGTTCATTTCACATCAGAAAAATTTAGTTTTCTAATCACTTTAACCTGCTGCTTGAGTGTACAATTCAAGAGATGTTTTATATCATGTAAAATGAGTAACTGTTCTCTCTCCTTCACCCTGGTCAAAAATAACTTTAAAACTGTTATGATGGCAACAATGTCTGTCACATAGGATTATTAGGGTTTATATGACTTACATTGAAATGGGATACCGAATTGATAAAACTGAATTATATACAAGTGCAAGAAAAGGTTGAACAGTTCAACAACTATAATATAGCCCTCTAATTGTTTTAAATGTAAATTACTTCTCGAAATCCATTATGTTCAACACTAAATATGAGCAGTAAAATTGACTACCACATGAATACCAATTGACATTGCTCATTTGCATCCACCACCACCATTCGGTCCCGTCATCTACCAAATTACCTATTCTAAAGGATGCTCTGAATTTTCCTCTAAACACCTCATGTACATGTCTTCCGTTTGCTACATTTAAGCCTTGACAATTTCCAAAACCATCTACATTGTTTTAATTCAAGTTACTTAATCTCACATAACTTGAAATAGAATTTTATTGAAGGCAGGAACTGGAGGACTGGAGCACACAACATACATCACATATTATAAATACGCAATAAACCATTGTATAATTATTGTACTCTGCTGAAATACTACACTAATGAATAGTGTCTATTCTAAAAGCTGGGGGCAAGGAGTTTTTCCACTCTGCTCCTGGTAATCCTGCAAGGAAAAGCCCTGTTAGGTGGGTGGTTTTAACTGGATAATCAGTGGGAACCTAGCCAGACAGTGCTCTTGATGGCAAGTTAAGTAGTTTTAGCTGGTTTGACTCCAGCAGTACTCCAACACACACTCTGTGATCCCCAAGCCTCAGCTCTCGCCAACCTGTACTTAATATTCTCTGGAATCAGGTAAGCAAGATGCATCCCTCCATGAGAGAGAATGTGCATTCAATTCCAGACATGCACTGATATTTACATTACGTTTATAATATTTATTTTGTGACACTTAGGTGATCAAAGCAAAAGTACTAAAGTGTGCTTATCTTACTCTCTTCTGGTGTGTTGGGTATATAAATGACTCAGTTTACAACATACCACTACAGAAGTTTGTCCACAGAAGTTTTTGTTGACATATCTTTGAGATTAGCCTTGTGATTACTTACTTTCAACAGTACAGCAGTTTCTAACATTTTCAAATCTGAGACGGACTAGTTAGTATTAATTCAACTGGCAAATAAAGCTTCAATAATTGGCAAGTGTTTCACCCACAAGAATACACAGTCAAGTCCACTTTAATATAAAATAATCCTTGGAATTGATATAGTGATTTATCACGTCTTCGAGACATCTCAAAGCGCTTCACAGAATATTCTGTAAAGTGAATAGACTATGTATTTTGTGGGCGAAACTCAGCAGCCAATTGCCAATCGACAACACCCAATGGATCACGATATTCAAGTGAGCAACTATGTAGCATATGTTCAGTCATCATTTGTAAATTTGGATACTGTTTGGTCCAACCCACACGTTAGTTAAAGGTGACCCGAATTAAATTAATTCATTAGAATTATAGCAGGGGTGAGAAACATTATTTATGAGAGGCTAGAAAAACTGCACTGTTTTTGATAACACAAAGAAGGCTGAGAGGAGCTGTTTGAAAATATGAGGAGTTTTGATGATGATTAGGGAGGCATCAATTCACTGGGCGGTGAGTCAGTAACTAGAGCATAAATTATTTTTGAAAAAAGTTAGCGTTTTAAAAAATCAGAGAGTTATTAGGACATTAAATGCCCAATAAAAATGCTTCCCACGATGTATGAAAGCAGGAGAGATGGCTGAAGAATTCTAGATAGAAATTAGTATTAATACAAATAACAAATAGTAAATTGGCAACTGTTATTGTCATCCAAGTCCAACTGATAATGGATCTGTTGAGGTAAGTAAGATGTGTAGAAAATTGTAATTCAATAATTTTGGGATTTCAATTTCTCAGAAATAGATGTTCAATTCTAAATACAGCCATTGCATTTTAGAGTAAATCCTGTGAAGCATTGTGAGATCTCAATGACGTGATAAGGTGCTATATCAAATGTAAGGATTACTATTGTGAAGTAAAGTGGTCAGGGCAGGGCAACCAGAAGTTAAGAGTAAATATTAAAGAGTTAATTTATCACTGCTTCTTAAGAAATAGCTGATTCAGAGTATGAGAGTAGATGCTGCAACAGAATGCTGCACTGCCTGGCAACATTTCCTACTGCTTGTCGAGCTAGAACAACCTACCCATTTGGCTTGTAGGATTAATGAGAGCGGGAAGAGTCCCTGCCCCCAGTGACTATTCTGACCTTCCAAGTCCCGCTGATGAACCAGACTGACTGTGCTGTCCTCAGCAGTGCCCTGGAATACTGCAGATCCTTCTGTCTCAGGAACTGGACAACCGAGCCCGCCAGACAGCGCTGGCTCAATTCCAACATTCCAATGCCAAAAAAAACACCTCGGAGCCAGTTCATCTCAAAGGAGACCCCGCTTACCTCCCAACCAAAGGAGGATAGTCACTAGTTGGTCATTTCACATCCGACAAGCACAGGTTTGAGCCCTTACTAGGTGGACATCAGGTACCAGGAACTCCCTGCGAGCTTCCTGCTGCGCAACACGGTTCAGCATGAAAACAAGGTAATTAACTTAAAATGACTTAACGAAATGACTGCCTCCCACTTTTATGATCTATTTCACTAATACATTTTATCTTATTGTATTTGTATCTGAATTGCCAAGGTGCCCTTGAAAGCTGATAGCCAGTGACTTGCCCGTCTTAGTAAAGATATATTATCATGCTGATTTTCACAGAAACATTCCAAGAGTGATAACATTGAGCAACCAAGGTATAGCCTAAGGTACTCCTTTGCATCGATGTTCAAGGCAGTTTCAAAGCAAATTTGACCACCATTAGCACCGTTAGATTCATCCACAAAACACAGTCACTCCACTTTACAATATATACAATGTGAAGAGCTTTGAGAGGTCTTCCTGACATGAAAGCCGAAAAACCAAATACAATTATTGAACTGGGACTGATGCTTCCTATACCTTCCAAACAATATCTTCAAGAGTTCTTCCTTGATCCATGTAAAACTGTACTTTTCCTCCAAGTGGCATATGTTCAATAAGTCGCCAATAACAGATTTTAAGAGTAGGAATATACAATTTAGATCAGATTCAGCATTTGACGCTGCACTCTAGTGATTTCCAGCTTCTTTAGGTGTGCAAGCAGGAGGCACTAGGGTGAAGGCCTTTCGGAAATCAGTAAAAGCAATGAAAGCACAGAAATCAGTGAAATTCCTCAGCACGTTTTGGTTTCACTTGGCCACCCTTTTTGTGCCATGATGCCACAATGCACTATAAACAACCTTAAATATGCTTACATCAAAACTGTTCAGATTTAAGTACTTTACCTAGCAAGTTGTAAATATGCGGAACAATAATGTTCAGGGAAAAAATTAGGGTGAATAATAATGCCAAATTTAAAAGAGATGAAATAGATTTTCGTCATTAGGGTGTTTGATATGATATTTTGGGAAATTTAGAATTGGACTGTGGATCACTATCGTCTTTGGCTGTGTTCAGTAAGGTTATGTTCCCATGTAAAGTTCACCCAATCGTTTCTGCTTGCAATGACAATTCTTTAGCGATTCCCACAATTGCTTCACAGTGAGGCTCGAAAATAGCATTATGCACATATTTATGCCAACCAGGCTGGAACTCTTTAAAACATTTTTGTCTTGTATGGCAGCTGTCTTGACTACTTCAGAGCTCATTCAATCAATTCTCACGATGAACAAAAAGATTTACAACCCTATTTTAGTACAAAGAGACTAGCAGTTCATTTTGAGGGAATAAACAGACTTCTGAAACAAAAGAAAAACTAAAGAAATAGTATTTCAGGAGCCCCTGCAGGGCTGATTCTACAAAAGACTTTTTGCTGCTTATGAAAAATTCAGTGAGGCCAGCCACAATACCATAATACAGCAGTAAAAAAAAGAATCACAAGAGTTTTGAAAAAGTTTCACAAGGAAATAGCAGTCATTTTGCAAATTAAATGTGATTGGTGTCTTTTTATGGAGCATTTTGGATCAGTTGCCCTTTTAGGTTCATTTTGTCTACTCCATGGGGAAGAATTAGACAGAACATTTGTTCTGGCTTTGTTCCCTTTACTGTCTATAGAACAGAGGAGTCACCATGAGCAATCATGTCATATTCATATAAGTATTTAGGGAGGAAACTAGTTAAAATTTATTTTTATTCAGCAAAAATTCACATACCAGATGATTGGGACGTGGATATTTCTAAAAGGGAATTAAATAGCTGATTAAAAATAAAGAATATTTAAAAATATGGGGAGTGATCAGGAGAGTGTGATTAAGATTGGATCAAAGGGAAATAAACATGAGAGCAGATTTGGAGGGCCAAACAGTTTATACCTATGCTATAACATTCAATCATTCTTACACATATGTGAATAGGGCAGGTAGATTTGAGCCTGCAGGTTTATACAGAACAGACTGGAAAACATTTGACGGTTATAACCCGTTTATACAGTAGTAGTAACTGCGGAAGCAAGCAACAAGTCCGAAATGAGTATAGTATGAGATAACTTACTTAGGTATGAAGAGCGTAGCCTTTTCATAGATTCAGAATACAAACTAGACAGGCCGCACATGCAAGAAGTCACGGTCAACATGCCTTATGAAGCAATGGAAAAGGAAAGACGAAGACACCAAAGTAGTATGGTTTGGCAGAAATATCCTGCTAGACAAAAACTTAGAACACATCATCAGATAATGCAATCTTCAGACAGACAAGAAATTAAAACATTAAAAAATTACATTCCTATGGAAGATTTACCCAAACTGGCTTTTATGATCCCCAACAATATATTTGTGTATTTATGACAAGACAGAAAAAGCACATGCAGTTGCAAGAAAACTTAACGAATGAAGAAAGCAGAAACAAATTTTCATTTATAATGGTTGATCCTCTGAGGGCATTTTATCTGTAGTGTTCAATCCTTGTGGTTCAACTAATCTTTCATTTCACCTTCGAAGGAAATTGACATTTATTAAATCAGCAATATACACAGAGCTTCACTTCCAAACTTGATTCTACTGAAATAGAATTTTCCTTACACATTTGGAACTGATAGTATTTTTCATCAAATACACAGTTGGCAATAAGGTACAAATGCCATGGTTATAACTTGCATTAACATTCGATGACTTCAATGTTAATGCAAGCAATGGAGTCATGTTCAAGGAAACCTCTTGATAATCCTGGTTAAGTGTTTACAGCATGGGTTGACTATGGACCTACAAAAATCAGAAATACACCCGAAGTAATAAAAACCCGAAATACTGTTTGTTGGGTTATAAAGATGGTTTATAATAAGTACATTTTTAAATAAATAAGAATGCTGTATTGTAGCCTAACACTCTGCTCTTATGAAAGCATAAACTTAAATAGCGAGCTTATTAAATATTAGGTTTTGATCCGAATCTGGGATAATGGGCTTAATTCTGATATATTCCAAAGCAATAAACTCATGTGCTGCTGTAACAGAATTCCCATCCACAAGATTATTGCTGTCTTCCAATTTAAAGCTTGCTATCAAGTTACTTGATAAATTGTAAATCAGTGCTTTGATCATGGCACTATCATTTATGTAGAAATGTTAACTTTGATGTAGATTTGTGAAAATATAAATGACTTGTGACCTAATAGAGCTACATTTAAGATAGGTTGGCTCTACTCAAAAGCCAGTGAGATAATTTGATTCAATTGTGGGACATCAATTCAATCTGTTACAACAAAAGGCAAAATATAGACGAGAAGCGAAGCTTGAGAACCATTGAGGCTTGGGTAAAATTGTTTTAACAACTTATGTCAGCAGTGGGGTCAGTGAAGGGTAAAAATCTAAAGTGTGATAAGCAGCACCAAGTTCATGAATCTAAGAAAGACTAAAAATTAAGCACCTATTCTAGTACATACTCCAGCACTTTTGCCACGATCCAGCTTGGATAGTGATTATTGATCCACAAATAGAATAATTTGATGATAAAAGTTTCAAGATGGCATTCCTTTTTACTTAAGCATCACTGATTTGATGTTTTGACACTGGTATGCAGTTTGCTTCTTAATGAAGAACTGCTGTCTGAATCTATGTTGTTGACAGCCTTTTGTACAATATTGGAGTTATCTTTGGATTCACAACAGATTGGTCTTCATGAATCAATAATTCTTTTAAAAAGTGGGAAAAAATGTCTCCAGTACGTGACAGCTATGTTGGTGAGGCCTCCTCAATTTTTTAAGATATAAAATAGTCACATCACCTCCTGAAATGCCTAACTCAAAATTAATACTTGAAAATTGTAGAGATACAGTTTCCTGGCATTGTTTGTGTATGTATCTGGAGCTCCTACTCATTGTAATTTACTCATGTGAAGGTGTTCTGCAGCTGTATGCCCCCAGCCAATTCATGGTAAGATCTGGATTGGTGGTGTAGCTAGTGATTGCTTCTTTCGTGTCATTTAGCTGGATCTAAAATCCAATGATAGTTAGATGGGCACGTTTTCCCACTAGATTGTGCTCCTCATTTTTTCCTGAGAATGCTTACACATTGCCACTTAACCAAAACAAAACATGGATGTTGAGCTAACAATATGTGCAATGCTTGAGAACTAAGATAGAAACAGACAGATGTTAAACCCTTCTCAAAGTCCTTACAACTTTGTATCTTACCCACTCTATTTCATATTGTTCTCATATTAACCAGCAACTCGATATTTTTCTCCCTTCCTGAAAAGCAACTTTAGCCAACACTACAAAAATGGGGTTTAGCAAGACAAAGAAATGCTTGATGAAACCAAGGATAGAGGGGGAAAATCTCTCTCAAACTTAAACCCATTTAAGATAAAACTCCTCAGAGACGCTGAACATATGTTTTAAGTTAAATCTACGCCTGTCTTTCTGCAAAGGTTACTTCTTGTGTTTCAGCAGCAAATGCTAGTTGTAGATGGAGCAACAATTGATCTGCAAAACTCAGGGCTCTGTGAATTCTACTGAAAATATGTGAAAGGAAAATATGTCCATTTTATCAACTAAAAGCTGCAAAAATAATTTGCAAGGCTCCATGTTGAAAAACAGATCTAGATCATCACACAATAACCATAACAGTAATCCTTCAAATTGAAATAATCAGGTGGCTTTCTAAAATATTTTTGGTGCCTAAAAGCTTTTTATGTTTCAAAACAGTTCAACAGGTAAATTAATTGAGTAATTAAGCATCATGTCCAAATGAGGCAAAATCTCTACCATGTATCAAATGCTCAGCTATACATTGAGCTGAATATAGTTGATTTAGAATTTAAATTCTGCCATTGTAGGAAGAATTGGTTTCCTCCTGTTAGTGCATGGCACATGTTAATCAACATGAAACACTATGAAAAAGGGAGCAACTACCTAAAATAACCTTGATATCTGCCACAAATATAATTCCAGTGATTATTCAGAGAAACAAAGAGCATGTTATGTTGTAATTTGATTCCTGGAAGAGGATTAAGTGAAGCATGACTACCAAACATTTAATTGTTTTATATCATGCCAACATATAACAGCGTTATTGCATGGACACGTTGGTGTGTTTTAAGTCTGAAACTAATATTCGGAGAGTATATTATTTGATTAATTCACCTTAACCAGAATTCAATTTTAAAAGAATTGAAGTACACCAGGCTCATTGTTTGTAGATTTGACAACACACAGATATTACACAACCCTGGAAAATGCCCTCAGATTAAGTAGAAATCGAACAGTAATTCTGTAATTTACGAATACAGTGATCTCCACAAACAGATGGAAAATGCAATAAATGTTTGCACGTTCTTATCTGTGAACCAGTACTAGAAAGAAAAACGTTTAATTGACACCAATTTAGACCCAAGCAAGTCTCATCATCAATTAGAATTGTTTACCTTAGCACTCAGTACTGAACAAAAATATTTCAAATCATCAAACAGAAATATAGCCAAATAAATTGTTCTGTTTAGCTATGATTGTTAAGTGAGTACAGATGGAGCGATAGTAATTACCACACCTTCAGTGTCTTTCTTTAAAATAAACACATTTGAATTATGTAGGGATTAACAACCTGGTTTTGAACAACTAATAAAGAAGCAACCATATAAAAGGATAACAGCAGAAGGTTAACCACACAGACCATCTTTACGTATGTAAAATTTATACATTTATGCTTTTCCCATAAGCAAGTTTGAAATTCAGTGGCTTGTTATTAATGCATTTGATGTTGCAGCACCTGAAATTCAATTCAATGATTTTCCTTGCGATACTTTAACACAACTGAATTTTATTTATCATTTAGTCAGGTATTAAAATAAGAAGACTGTGGTAACTATCTGCCTAATTAAATCCTAAAACCATGCTTTGGTATCTACAAGGTTACTTATTTTCTCCAAAATTCCCCTTTTCCTTTTATTCTCCAATTCTTAATTTCATGGACATTTATCTATTCCAAGATTAGCTCTATTAAACTTCATGTAATGAATAAAGTTGCTTCATATGCTTAGAACAAATTCTGTGCAACGAAAAACAAACTAGCGGTCAAAATAAACCTGCACATAAACAATAAATTCACCTCACTTAAAAAACAGGAGATCCCTTAATTAATTACCCAGGCAGAGGGTCTTTAAAGAGCAGCGGTAAATGCACAATGTACTTATCCCACTTCAATCATGTACAATTGTTCCAATTATCAATATAATCAGCTACTGCTCCAGTGGACCTTTCATTTGCCATTACAACCTGTTTAACTCAATGCCATTTCATAAGTTGACTACCTGCACATTAACCACAAACCTACCTTTCTGCAGTGGATAACTGGTTGTTCGTGCATTTATTTTAAGATTGTTTTTTGTGTGGACATGGCACATATCATCTACTAAAGTCCTACAAAGATCAGTTATGGGCTGCATTATTCTTTAAACTAAAGGCTATTGGTGCTTACCTCCAGAGGCTTGCCGTGTTTTGCGAGGAGACTTGGGTTGTCTCTGATAAGGATCATTGGAGCCGTATAATTCTATTGTAGTGAAGTTGAGCAGTACAGTCTTCTGAATATAATCGACCATTGCAATGCCATTTGAGTTCCCAAATACCAAACTGAAAGGAAAAAGATTGAACTGCTTTAGGAAAATAAAATCCTCTTCGCTAGCTCACCACTAACTAAACATCAAAACAAGTAATGTAACCTGGAAAATTGATTGTTAAAATCTAATATATAGAAAAATCCCTGCATTTGATGTAACACCTGAAGTTGAAATTTCCAAAGTGCTTTACAGTTTATTTCTGTCAAGTGTGTGACTGTATGTATAGTTCTGAATGAATTCATGCTTACATACCAGGTAAAATAGAGAAATTAGTCTCTTTTGGCATCATTGTCAGCCCCTTGTCACCACATAGACAGAAGGAATTCAATGCTGTGTGGAAAATGATGAACTGCTAGGACTATGGAATTAGTACCAAGAAAAGTAATTGGTCAGGGATATACTGTATAATGTGAGAAGAGGATTAAAGGTGTATTCTGGGTTTGCTGATTTTTCAAGAGAAAGAATTTGCAAACCTTTCTACTGGAGATTGAGTGGGTTATGTTGAGTTCAAGATGAGCTGTAGTTCATGTGGAAGAGCAAATATGTTAGGCTGAATGATCTTTCTTTGTGCATTTTTTTTCAATAAGCAACATATTGGTTCTATCGAAATTTTTTGAAAAGTAAATCGTATATTCAGAAGAATTTGAACACGTTGACTTAGTGACATCGTAAACATAAGCCTCTCTTACTAATAAGGATATCCTACTCCTAACAGATTAGCTTTGCATCATATACAACTGCTTAACCCCTCTTTACAGTATTTTACGATCTATTATTAAGGTACAGCTGTCTTCTTGTACAATATGTCGTTAGCAATTTTCATTTAATTAGAAATTGCTCCTCGGGCCTTAAGTTTTTTTGCCTGGTCATACGTGCCTCTTCAATCCTCTAAAGCGACTTCTTCAGTCCAACCATTTCAGTTCTGATGAAGGATTTCACCCGAAATACTATCCTATATTTCTCTCCCAGATACTGGTTCAGCATTGTGCATTAATAACTATTTTTTTCCTGCACCACAAAGTTGAAGTGTACACCACTAGTGGGTGCTTCAATGTGCCTCGATATATCTTTAGACTAATAAGCCAATTAAAAAATCTTTCTATTCACAAATGTTTTCGTGTTCCCATTATTAGTGCGACCTTTCTCTCTCTTTACTTGGGGCGGATCTTACAGAAGTCCAGGTGGAATGTTATTGGTGGCTGGAATATGGTTTAATTTACGTTGTGATAATAATAATAATAATCCTTGCATTTGATATAACGCTTTTCACATCTTCTAGACGTCCCAAAGCGCTTCACAGAATATACTGTAAAGTGAATTGACTGTATATTTGTGGGCGAACGCGGCAGCCAATTGCGCACAGCAATGTCCCACAAACAGTCGTGGATTGAAAATGACCAATTTATTATTGTTTTGTTTTGGAGGGATTATTATTAGGCTCTGTGTGGAGTAAGGAAACTTGCTCAAGGTTTCGCCCTGCCTGGAATTGAACTCAGGTCTCTCACTTGCAAAGCGAGTGCTCTAACCACTGAGCTACAGGACTCCACAATCTCCCAGTTGGAACCATGGATTGTTCAGCTCAACAGCATACTTAATTTTCATCCTGTCAACCAACTAATATAGTCCTTGCATTTGATGTAGTGCCAAAGAGCTTCACAAGTTCTTACTGTAAAGGGCAGTGACCATATTTTCCAGGCAAATGGGGCAGCCAATATGTGGACAGCTATATCATACATACAGCCAGAAATAAACTATTTTAAATCATAAAGTTTCTAACCTTATTGATTTACTCTATGTTTTCTTTTTGGGATATTCCTTTTTAATCAACCTGATCTGTTTTTGTAATTTATTGGCTCTTTACTGTCATTCTATCTCCACTCCAAAACGATATTATCTTCTCTTTTCCCTCTTCGGTTTGTTAGAATCAGAGGCAAAACATTTAGCCCGGATTGCCTCTTTGTTTTCTTTCTGATCTCTATTGCTAAAACTCTTACCGTTGGTGCATACAATGAGTTTAGTTTTGCTATATTTTTGTTGCACATTATTTTCGTCGAATGTGCAGTAACAGCAGGGACTTGGGCAATATGAATCAAACTGCACTGCACTCCTCGTGCCACCTGGAGGAGCCAGTTTCTGAAGTAGTTCAATTTGCCAACTCCAGCACAGAATGGTACATGGTACAGAATGCACTCGGATCGCTCCAACCATTCTGTTCAAAGCTAAGCGCTCTGCACTGATCATTATTAGAACTGGATTACATGGCCGACTCATTTTAATAAAAGTCCAGGTGTGTACTAAACAATCACATGACTGTTATATATTGAGGGAGGATTGGAATAATACTAATCCTTGCATCAAAGCAGGTCACAGAATATACTGTAAAACGAATTGACTGTATATTTTGTGGGAGAAATGTGGCAGCCAATTGCGCACAGCAGTGTCCCACAATCAGTTGTGGGTTGAGTGACCAAATTATTATTATTATTTTTTATTACACCCCCGGAAAAGCGATCCACCAATCGACTAACAACCGGGTTCCTACTTACTGCTCGGTGTACAGAGGCGTTTGGAGTAAGGAAATGTGCCGAATGTTTCGCCCTGCCTGGGAATTGAACCCAGGTCCTCCCACTTGTGAGTGAGAGCTCTAATCGCTAAGTGACAGAACTCCACAAGATTCAGAATTTTAGGTATCTAAGACTGACAGACCTGCCATTTGATAACTGGACAAAGGAGTACGACCATCGCCCAACTTTTTGGTCAAAATCTTACTTGAAATTGTACATATACAGTACATTTTTTAAAAAATAGAATTGTGGTGAGGCAATCTTTGGTCTTGGTGTGTCTGAGCTGCAAATTCTACCACAAATCTACTCAGCAGTCTTAATTCCTTTTCACAGCACAGACAACCTCACAATTTCCTTCCAGAGATTAAATGAATTGGGCAGAGTCTAAGAGATAAAATTGCACATCGCTGTGGAAGGAGCAGCTGAGCCAAATGGCCTTCTCTTGTTTCATGCTTTCTTTTTTTGCGCTTTGCAACAGAATGAGAAAAAGTCACAGACCATTGTGTAACCTCACATCTTCCCTCCTCTCCCTATTTGCACTACGTGAAAGATGATGCATCAGTTACATCAGAACAAACCTTAGTAACAGGACCCAGGAAAGACCTTTGCAGTCCATCTGGCCCATTCTAAAGTAAAATGTATACACAATTGTTCAAAGGGCTGCTCGTTAATAATTAAGTTAAACAGGATAAAGTTTAAATCCTCTTAATCCTGCTCAGGAGAATGGGATAAAAGTCTCATCTATCAGCTGTAAGGATCATCTGTGAAATAAGGTCGGGCAGCCTGATTCCAGCTCCTTGTTAAAGTGGACTGAAAACCCCAAACTGCCCTCGACTGGCAATGTCACTCAGAGGACAGGGTAACTGATATGGAAAGTAATACCACTCCGGTGCTTTCGGGTTGATAAATGTTCAGTGCAAGGCAACTTCCCTCAGTAACTCAGTTTACAATAGATGATCTGAAGTAATTGATGGAGGTATTGGTGCCAAAATGGGAAATGTCTTCGATCTTCACTACATGAGCACAAAATTCTGCTTCTCTTTGTCTCCACAATATCACCCGCTTCAGTCACCACCTCACCCTCACCGTAGGCAAAATGATCATCCGTGCCTTTGCCACCTCTAGATCGGAATTCTTCAACATCTTCGGAACTGATCAATCCCCAAAAAGCTCCAGATCATCTACTCCAGATCTCACCTTCTCTCCTGCATGACCTTCTGCTGACTGGCTCCACTGGCTCTTACCCCCAGAAGCTTACCGGCCCCCCTACCCCCTGCTCTCTGTCAATTTATTCTGCAGAAACCAAAGTTTTATAAAATGTGACTTATACTTACAGTCCATATGCTGAATTTACTGCTAGACTGGTGATCTGTTGTGGTGGTTCTCCATTAACCCAAACCAACTGAATCACTACTTCAGCCTGGTAACCTGGCCCTTGTTTTAATGGAGTACTTTTAATTCTTGTAAAGGGAACAAAGAACACAATGTAAAAGAGTAGAACTGGTAAATAACAAAATATTAGAGATTGTGTAGATGAAGAAAGCTTTGAAGGTAAATGTTTCATATCAAGTTTAAATGCTACCTTTAAATTATACCTTGTTCAGTTTAAAATCTTTTACATGTCATACTCTCCCTCCTGGTTCCTATCTTCTATTTTGGGGGCAGCAGCAATAGTCAAAATAAAGTCAGTTATCATTGACTGAAACTTGGCTTTAAAGATCTTTTCTCAGCTGATCAAAAGCCAAACCATGGAAAACTGGCATGGTCACATCATAATTCTGACCAGGACATGCCAAGGGCTACCAGAATAGCATATTTATTGAAAACACTAACAGACTGAACACGCCCAATAAATGTACCTGGAACACACACAGATTAAAAGGAAAACTGAAGGAAATGGTATAGCATTGGAAAAAACACTATATAAACAATTACTTTGCTTTCAAATAGAAATCAGAAATTAATGTTTTTTCTTTATTGATAGTACTCACTATCAAGTCAGTTCTAATAACTGGTCACAACTCAAAACACTGACCTACAGTTTGCTTTTTCTGGTGGACTTGCTACACATTTTCAGCAATTTCTATTTTTATCCCCATTTTTTGTTTTAATCAAATTAATAGGATTGATCATCTCCCACAAAAAGTTACAACAGTTTCAATATACATCTGGCAAGCTTTCCCACTGTTTGTCTCGCTAAGATCACACTGTCCGTTAGGGTTTTGGTTTGCAGGGTTAACAGTTGAGTGGGAAGAGAACCTGCCCCCAGTTACTGGTCTGCCCTTCCAAATCCTTTCGATGACCCTGGCTGGCTGTGCTGTCATCAGCACTGCCCTGGAGAATTACAGGCCAATGACTTTGATTTACCAACTGCAGTGCTAGAAAAATTGACAGATGTGTGCTCCAAACAGATTTAGCATTGGACTAAGAAAGTTAAGCAGATTAATAAACACACTACACTTAGTAAAAGTTAATACACGAATATTACTTCTGTTCGTGAAATATCAGTCACTTCAAAATGATATAAGATGTTATATTTCTCTTCTAACATATTCTTAACTCTTAAAATCAGACTTTCTATTGAGGGATTTGTGAGCCAATAGAATAATAATAATGATCTTTGTTTATAAAGTGAATATTGACGCTAAATGGATTGAACAAAGCTCTTTTTTAAAAAAATGTAGCGTTTATTTTGATTGCTGAGGTCAGTAAAGGTGGTGTGACACACACACACAAAGATAATGAAGATGATAGTGAAGTGAGAGCTGAAGACCTGTAACATTATGCAACGGGATTATTATCAGAGTAGCCATCGCTATTACAGACAACACGTTATCTTTGTGTTTATCATTATCTTGCTCACCATTTTATTGCCACAATCTTGAAGCCTAACAAATCGTCCCTTTATCCTAAGTCTGCATCAACAAGAAGATGCCTCACTGACAACATAATGATTTTCTGCATTTTTATCCCCATACATTAGAATGAATCTGAATCATCCCAAATTTCCTTTTGCTGTTTAATACTCACTTTAAGCAGGGAACATTATCACGGAGACCATCTGATGAAGTGCTACTTGTGGAAGGGTGAGACTGAGAACTTGCTGTCAGAGAGTTGGATACCTGACATGTGGTTGGCAGCACTGTTACCTGATCAATATCTGGTGATTCAAGATCACTTATTTCATAATGTAATCGTACTTCAAGCATCTACACACCAGGAAAGGAGAACAAAAAGAGCAAACATTTAATAGCCTAAGTCTACTCTTAATATGAAACCTAAACAGATGCCTAGCATGCACATCGTTTGTAAGAGGCAACCAACCCAGCACCTTAACCAAAACCTGTACCTTACTTTTTGTTCAATTATATGAGACAAGCAACACCTTCCAGAGTTGGGAAACATGAAGGTTCTTGTTAAAAAATTATCAACATCTCTTCAAATAATATTTAAAACACAGACCTGCTGAACACACCAAACCAAGGAGAGGAGGCCAGTGTGATTTATACTTGGTACGACAATAAGCTTTGAGTTTCAAACGTCTCTATCCCCTGGGACTAAAGGAACTTCTGGTTCAGAATATTAATAGTCAGAGTGTATAATGCAATTGTTCAAGGAATAAAATACTTGTGTGTGGGCTACATTAAATCTTTTAGAAATTTAGAATATCAATGTAACAATAAATAAATATCAATAAACAAATTTATTCACTGGATAATGCCACAGGAACCCACAATTATCTGGCAGCGGTTTTAACGTTTTGGCAATATTGTAGAAACAATCTGAACATACACTATTGTTGAAAGTTCACCAATTAGTGTATCTTATTTATGGAGGAAAAAAGCCAGTGTACGCCACTCTTCAGCACTTCTAATTTAAAACGTTGCATTCCAAAACAAAAAGTTATGAGATGCAAGAAGCCAAAAGGACTTTAGATGTTTTTCAACAGACGTTTACGATAAAATTCTGTGATAATAATGATTAAAAAAGCACACTTGCCAATGACACTGATATTGTGTTAAGAAATAAGCTCTACACATGCCTATTAGAGCAACTGAAATACAGAGCATCCACTGGTCTGGAAGGACCAGGGCTTCTCAATTTGTGAATTTGGACCCTGCAAGTTTGACTCAACATTTTATCTTGGCTCTCAGTTTGCCAAGAATTATCTAATCCATAGGGAAAATTTACCACAGCATATGCATCAGCATATGACTATAGCAATTATTTTTTCTTTTGACACTAATCCATGAAATTTGATTATCTTGCATTTCATGATACCTGTGAAGATTTTAACCTATAAGGTTATTACAGTAAATACTCATTGAAACAATTATGACCAACAAATTTCAGTGTTTCACAGAATATTTTGATCAGAATTTATTGGAAATTCTCTGCAAATTCCTACAAGTCTACTGACCTGGCCTCTCCCTTCACTCAGTAAGCACCAGCCTGCTTCATATCCCATGCCCTAACCACCCCATCAGCAGGGTTATTCCGTTATTATTCAGATATTCTGCCCCCTGCTCTCTGGAATTCCATCCCAGAGTCACTCCAACTTGTCTACCTCTCCCCACTTCCAAAGCTTGTCTCAAAACTTACCTTTTTGATCGCACTTTTGTCATCTTTTCCTTCTCAACTCTTCAGTTCCCAACCCCTGTCTTGGCTGCCCAGCTAGCAGTGCAAAGCGCTTTGAAATGTCCTTCCGATACGAAAAGAACTATTATCAATGTAAATTGCAATGTATAGGAAGTTGATACCTGGATAACCTCTGTCGTCACTTCCTGTTTGCTGAATTTGTAAACAATAACATGTGCTGATACTCCAGCTACGCAGAGCATTCTGCTTTCAGGACACCAGGACATAATTTGAATAGCATATGGGTCTTCATCTACTATATCCGTGTTTGGTTTGTCTTCCTTATTCCGGGACTTTTCAAATACCTTGGACGTTTTCATCTTATACAACACCTGTAACGTTACTAATGGAAGAAAAATCAAAATTAAGAGAAGTTTGAATTACTTTAAATCTAAAACTTTAGAGCAAGTCTATAAATTGAAATATGCATATCAAACTATTTAACTGATAATTTTTGAAAACTTTTACAGACCACAATTATTGACCAAGTAACTGCTCTATAGAAGGGGTTAATTTTGCTCAAAGATAGCAAACTAAAAAGGTTTCCGGGAAGCTGAATGACTAAAGCAATTTGAACTTCTGGTTGCTGGGAACTGATCAGATAAGGGCTCCTCAACTCTTAGAATATGTAGGAGCACGTACGCCAATTAAAAGGATTCTTATCAGCAATGAGGAATCCAAATTTGTACCTTGAGAGGTGAAGCAACCTAAGATAAATGGGATTTTGATTGCAAGTGTCAAGTAGCCTAAGATAAATGAGGCAAGTTATAAAAATAATAAACATAATAATCCTTGCACTTAATTATGATGCCTTTTACACCTTTGTTTTAGCGCCTGGCCTACATTAATACTATACAGTGTAGTGATGGTGTATTTTGCAGGCAAACGAAGAATGAGCTAACGAGCAAGGCAAATTATGAATATCATTGGAAGCTTCCCAGCTCACCTTCACTCACAAAGTTAAGAGGAAAAGTCAGAAGAGAATCTTAGGTGAGCATGGTAGGTTTGCTCATGTTATTGGCTTGTAGATACTTTCTAACTTCAAGTCTACCCTGCACCTCATGTCCTCCTTCTCCAATGATTAGTTCAAGTCATCATTTGCAATTACACCCACATCTGTTTTTAATGGGCTTACCTCCTGCTTTAACATGCTTTCTGGATGTACTTCAATGAAGTATTCATTAAAAAAAAACTTCTGTCATTTCCCTCCTACCAACTGCATGAGGTTTTTTCACATGCAGCACTTCTTTACTCCCGATTATTTTATGGCTTTTAATCATCCTTCCAGACCAATCTTGCTATTTTCCCCTCATTATTATGCAAACCCACTTTTGTATTGTTTGAGGCTGATGTAGATTTTGGTTGCTTTAAACTAGAAGTACAACCTTTGCCTTTCTGGCATACATATTGTACTTGTTATGCAATTACCAAGCTGTCTTGCACTAATTATTTCCTTGAATAAATTCCACAGGCTATCAGTCAATTTCTCAACTAACAATTCCTCCCATTCTCTTGTAATCAATTCCTTCCAAATCCCTTCTGAGAAGGTCTAAGTTCAAAACCTCAGTTTGTACACCTACTTTCCCCGATCAAGCCTAATACTGAATTAAATCATATGATCAATGGTCAATCATATTATGGAAGTATAAAAGAGGAACTAAAGATGAAGGATGTAATATGCGCAATAACCTTTGGGTTTCAGGTTCAATTCAGGTTCAATTCGGCTACTACACACCTCCAAAGCAGTTTGTTTTTCTTGCTTGCAATTGCCATCCAGTGAACCAGATCAGCTGAATGATAAATGGTGTGCTTGGTATACTCAATACATTATAGGTCACTGTGGTTGAGCTATTGGATTTGCAGGTCAAAATGTATAAGGAATCATATAATATTTACAGCACAAGAGGCAGCCATTGAGCCCATTATGCCTGGGTTGGCTTTCTGAAAGTTATCCCTTTATTCTGACTTCTCTGCCCTTTCTTCAATCTCTTTATATATTTTTTATCACCTCCCAGTAAACCAAAAGTACAAAGTAACACCATCACTTTCATAGCTCAGCAAACCAACAGATGAGATTTTGACCATTTTACCAGCTACACACAATATCAATCCCACAGTAGCACTCTCAATTAAAAACATCTACTTGTCTTAAAGTTGTCAAAAGATAAAATTAATATAGGCAGAACATTAAATCGAGTAAACAAAGTTAAGAGATGGAAAAATAAATTCAAAGGTTTGATCAAATAAAGATTGATCAGTAAAGGAACAGGGAAAGAAAAAAACAGTACCAAATACAATGAAATTTACATTTATATAGTTCCTTTCACATTGGGAGGACTTCCAAAGTGCATAAATGGAAGGTCTAGGATTTTATTTCCCCCAAATTACTGTAAAAAAAGTATATGAATGTCACTTATTTAAAAACTATATGTTAGACATCAACTTCCTCTTTGAATGTAGTACTGTATTAGTTGTAGTACTTCACATCAATCCTTCAGTGACAAACTACAGTGACAAAATACATCTTTGATTGATTTACACTTATAAAATCACAATTTGTTCTTAAAATGAATAGTTTGAATGCATGACAATTGTGATGATTCACTGAAATATAAAACTGATTCCCTGCAATTCCTCTGTTCAAATGTGTTAAATCATTCTGGACCATTCATTTTTTCCATATAGAAATCTGTCCAGGATGGGGGTTGGGGGAATGAAGAAAGGAGGTATTTGTATCTTAATGTTTCCAAATGTAACAATCTTAACTGCACAAATCACCTTTGTAAAAAGATTTATGCACAATGCATTTCCACACTGGGTTCATATGAGGGGAAGTCGCAATCAATTCTATTGGTTTCATTCAGGACCTGAAACCATTATTAGACTTAATTCCTCTGCCTGAACTAGAATTAAATTCAATCCGAGGAGGGAAAAAAGCTTCAGCTATTAAGATACCTCAGGGCATATATTCTCTTCTAGAAGGGAATACTGGCAGTTATCTGCAATTGTTGTTTGAAGATTAATAGTTAAACTTACTGGCTGAAGCATCCCAGAACTTCAGTGACCCATCTGCATGCCTATGGGAAAGAAGAAAATTATTAATACTGTAGTACTCTCCAGCTTGCATATTTTCCCTCATTGGTGTAATGCAAGAGAATACAGAAAGAACGTTTAAAAAGTGTTGAATGATGTGTCAATATGAAGATGTCAGACCAAGTCCATCATTCAGTAGGGTGCAACCGAGTCCCTACTGAGTACAGATGGACAACCTGTAACTAACCTTAATTCTATACGAGTCAAGCAACAAAATGACAATCTCACTTAACTTAGGGTTCTGGTAGCTAGCCTGCAAGATGCAATTGAAACTGAAAATTTTCATGAACCAGATTCCTTATGTAGGGATGAATCGATCGCATAGCACCCAAATCAAATGGGAAATGTGATCCATTACACATCTGGGGGAATCCAGACTTTCCTGTAAAACCGGAAGTCAGTCTGCAAGGAACTTGGCATCAAACCAGCATAAACGTTTCAATCTGATCTAAGGAAAAGATATTCAGACACAGAGCCTCTCCAATGACAAAGTGCCCTGGAGTCCATACACCAGTGAAGAATGGGACAAGAAAATAACACCCATTGGTGTGACTATTACCTTGTGTTGTAGTCCAAACCTGAAGATTTTAAATGGCTAATGTACAGTAATGTTTTCATCCTAAAGATTGTGCTAAGCATTATCTAAAGTACCATTTGAACAAAGTATCCGCAATGCCTGAAATCGACAGATACCGAACTTCCTCTTCACACTGTTCTAGCCATTTACAGAGAATCACTCCTACACCAACACTGGGAAGTGCTTCAAAACACTGCTATGTTAAAAGGTTGATATAAGTGCACCACTGCACAATTTGGCTTCCAGAATGATAAGAACCAAAAGATACAGCTTCCAAGCAGGAATGATGAATGACCCACCAGGACCAAGTGGAATGCTACAATAATGGTCCTGTCAACTGGCAAAACGTAATTACTGTTTTGTGTTCTATCTCCACACAACCACATCCTACGTGTGTCAAGATTTTGAACAAATTTCACAAGAAGCACTGCAGGCTATCTCCCATACTGAATGCAGTACTGCATCTCACAGTGCTGGCTGCCCAAAGCTATGGTTGTATAGTACGATCAAAAGATACAAAAATGATGAGACAAGTACACTAATCATTAGTGCCAGACAAATATGTGGACAGGAACCACTGCTGACAGTAGGAAATGAAAGGACACATCAGCTATGTGCAAATATCTTTATATTGCATGGGAAGGAGTAGCAAGAATCAATGTTGTCTTGAGGTTATTCTTGAAAATGTCTTGGAAGGGTATGGGCATCAGGTATTTGTCCCTTTAACAACAAGGTTATTCAGAAGTTACAGTCAAACCTGTCTTCAACAACCACTCAGGGAACTGGGCCAAGATGGCTTCTGAGTAAGGGTTCATTGGTGAACCAGGCTGTCTGAGCTATTCCAGGGTGGTGGTTAACAGGAGCTGCTTGCTGAATGGAAATGATTGGTTCAACAGAGGTTTGGCTTTATATGGAGGATACCAAATAAAAAGATTTTTCTGTGATTGTCTGTTTTTCAGACATAACAGAAACAAAATGCTGGTTTATTTGGGTATGATCAAAAATATTCCTTTAAAAATTCATCCATCTTATTTTAACAACCTAATAATAGTGACATGTCCTCACAATTTATATATAGCGGGTCACATAAGCTCACACAATTTACTTTTACTCAAAACTTTGAAAGATCCTGCATTACACCAATCTAATAATACCACCTCCCACAGCAATTCCCTTTATTTGCTACACAGTGAATCAGAATTGTGTGGTGGAGCAGCACATAACAGATTCCAATGGTGAGAGAAAGAACTGGTGATTAGAATCAGATCTTGTGAGGAAAAGTCACGGTTTCCAGACGCAACCAAGGAAAGAAAAGACATTTTTACTTTTTCCAGTTTATGCTCAATCAAGGCATTCAATGAAAAGAAAAAAAAGTCTTCCACATGAATAAGATTTTGTCTAACGCACTCTCTCTATCTGGCTGATATCCTGACCTATCCAGCAGGCCCTTCCTTCCCCTCAGAAACTCATTCAGAAATCTGTTGAACCCTTTTATCATGGTAACTTTCAATGGCTCAAACTGGTAACATATTCCATAATCACTGCGTAAATGAAAAAAGCATTTTCTTACTTACCCTGTAATAATTATCTCCGGGTAGCTTTGAGTGCCTAAACCCCAATTACCCCCACTGACGGGCCATTCCTGGAAAACATAGAAAAGGATAAACTTATTCACCATTGTAAGTTTCATATTTTCAAGAAAGAAACTGGTCTTCCCACAAGCAAGCAGTCTGTACAAATCTAACTCAACAACAACAACTTGGATTTATATAGCGCCCTCCATGCCAGACGGCGTATCAGAGTACGTAACTCACAATCCAGAATCACTGATAATGACAAAAATAATCCTTAAATTTGATATAGGGCCTTATCATGTCATCGAGACATCTCAAAGTGCTTCACATCTACATACTGTAAAGTGGTTTGACTATGTATTTTGTGGGTACAACACCACACAGGAGTTTTTACTGAAGAAAAACTGAAAACTCAACAACATGATTTTTTTTTAAACTTAAGAAAAAATGAAGAAAATAAATAAAAGGAAGTTAGGTTTTTACTTCACAAAGTAAAACAAATCTGATTATAAGAGATAGATCAAAAAAGATCTTGCAGAAGGGATTCATTGAATTCTGAAAGTGATTCATAATTTAAAGAACAATTGTCAATCACCATGGTCATTTCCTCATCAATTTCTCTCCGACACTTCAAGGTTTCCTTATTCCATTTCAGTATCCCCAGGACATTCTTCCCCTTTTTCCTTTCACCTACCCTGAGGTGGTGTACAAGAAAAAAAATCAAAGGAACAAGCGGGTGTCTGCAGTACCCAAAGCATATCCCCAAGGCTTGGTGAAAACATTGAAGCTTGGTTAATAAAAACTACCCCAAGTAACAGCTATAAAGAATAGCTGTGACTAGTGCAGAGCAACGCTTTATCATGATGGATCTCAGCTCAAGAGGCCTGGCAACATGTAGGAAAACAACACGATAGAGAGTAAAAATTATATTCAGATAAGCAATAAGAAATACATCATACTCACATATAAAAGGTATGAACACCATAACTAATGGATAGTAATCCATTACACAAAAACAAAAAAGCTTGCCAAATGATAATGTTTTTTCTGGAGCTGAAGTGATCAAGTATAAACAGGATTTTCAAAAAAACAGAACCACATTGTGAATCCACGGTTTGTCATGTGACGATACATTGTTAACACGTTTGGCTGGAAGGTATTTCCACCAGGAATGCATCTTTCTCCTCAATTCAATCAAGTAGATAGTGATATTTATATTTCATACAGCTATTTAGCAGTGGAGAATAATTCTGAGTTACTGCATTGGTATCAGGTACCCGCAAAGCCGAAGACGCTTATGTGTAATGAAAGTGGATGAAAGTGGAGGTAGACCAACTGACAAAAATTGAATAAAAAGCTGAGTTTTGTTTTTAAAAAAATTAGATTTGAAGGGCGGTTCAAAAGTTAGATCAGGTTCAGAATTTTCTTAAACAACTGATAAATGAATTAAATTTTATCTATAATCTTAAAAGAGGATGGAGGCAACCTTAAAATTCCTTCAGAGTCGCCCAAAACAAACATAAGGACTTCTGTTATCAATGATTAAGTAAACAGGAAAGTTGGAAGCCACTGGCGAAATGTAAGATTACTCTATGACTCAAGTCTTGAACAACACTTTTCATTCAAAATGACAAGACATTCAGAAGTAAATTTACATTTATTTTTAGGCTCATCAGAAATTCAACTTTCTCCTCTTAATTGCACAGAAATTATTTATGGCTCATTTGTAATTAGGAAAAATACACAAAATATTTTTAAAATCCCAATAAAATATCCAACCAAATCCAAATGCACAATCAGAAATGCATGCTGTCAAAAATCTTGCTAAATTGAGCCAAACTGTAAATTTCTAACAACTCCACATCCTAGACATTTTTTGGCTGTTTACAATTTAAATATACGGTTAAAATGTTACAATTTAGACAGTTAATGTATTTTGGCAAAGATTAATAGTCCTCATTAATAATACATGTCACCTTCAGCATGGTGCTTCACTGAAACATAGCTGGTAATTTTAATGTTATTCAGATGCATGCGAAGAAGGGATTCACACATCCAACTTTTCTCTAGTGATTTCAGATCACTGTCTGTAATGCAGTTTAATTTTGGCTCAACAGATCTTAGCATTAAATCTAGCTAGATAGACAATAATGCCTCCATTAAAGAGATGCGACGAATGCAATCAGAACTCAGACATCTAAAGTCAACTCTATCATAAAGATTTTATTGTCTAGCCCAAGGATTCTGAACTATCTGAACCATGAACCATAAATGTTTTTCATAATACGACTTTTATTCCTTGAACGAGCATTTACCGAGAGCTAGGTTACACAAAAAAACAGCTGTTTACCATCATCCATATGCTACGGACGGGGCCCTCCCTTCCTGGGAAACATATTAACCATTTAAAGAAATATTATCTTAGGTTTTAATATATTGCTGGGCTAGTCTTTTTATTTAGGTAGAGGGAAAACCCAGATTCGCTGTGCAATGCCTTCACGCACATGTTATGCAAAGTACATAACTGTGGCACACTAAACAAATAAGGCTACTTTTATGAGGATCAGCACCCTTAAATTACCCATAAAATTATGAGATCAATTACAAAAAGAGCTAATCAGCTCTCCCAATGGAGTGTGCGGCACTCTTCACTTGCCAAATTCCTTGGGCTCAGCAACATATCAGCACTCCTAAGGAGTGAACCTCATGCAACTTTAAATATTCGTGAAAATGCCCTAAGCCAGGCCAATAGCCCACTTTTAAACATTATGTTTTCTCCACGGACCACAAATTGAACGCAAGGAACAATAACACGCATACAAGAAAGAGCAGTGATCACCCAAGAACAAGCATCCCCCACCCCAATGAAGGCACACAACAAAGCACGTTGAGTTCACCTCAACAATCCTTTATAGGTGCGCAATGAGGAGCAGTGACCTCCCAAAAACCCGAATGCAAGTACACAACATGCAGTTCAGAACCTGACACCCCAAACCAAAACAACCACGAGTGAGAAGACACCCCCCAATCACCAACACTACAGGTACACATCATGGAGCATTGAAATCATCTGATGTTACCATAAAGTTACTATTACTCAAAGCATGGGACCCCCAACCTGAAATGGCCAATTTAAATTCCTCCCCAATTCCCAAAGGCAGTCAAGCAAATTGAAAGAGAATGTATTATTTTGAAATCGCTGTGCTACATTTTTGGGGTCCAAAATGCCATTTGAATTATTCCACCAACAAGATTGATAGCAAACAATGATTGAATTATGAATCCTGATCATGTGCTGACTAACCCTGACTTGCTGTATTTATCATATAACTTCCTACAATGGTGTTCATGTGCACTCCACTGAGGAACAACAGCAGCAACAAAATTACATTTATAGAGTGCCTTTCACGTCGGGAGGACGTCCCAAAGCGCTGAACAGTCAGAAGTCGGGGCCTGAGCACGGGGGAGGGGTGGTGTAGGGGTGAGGGAAGGCAGAGAGGTGGGAGGGCAACCAAAGGGACGGTCGAAGAGAAGGGTCTTGAGACGGGCCTTGAAGGAGGCAAGGGAAGTGAGGCGAAGGAACCGTGGGATGGAGTTCCAGCGTGTGGAGGCAGAGAGGCTGAAAGCCCGGCCACCGATGGTAGGGCGAGTCGGGTGGGAGACATGGAGCAGACCGGAGTCCGCTGAATGGAGGAAGCAGGCAGGCTCATAAGGAGGCAGCAGGTCAGAGAGGTAGAAGGGGGCAAGGTCATGGATGGCCTTAAAGGTGAGGACGAGGATCTTGAACTCGATCCTCTGGGAAAGCATCAATTTGAATAAATAAAATGTAATTAAAGGTGAAAGGAAACAATTAAGGGGCTATCTGATCCAACACATGACAGCAAACCATATCAACACACTTTAGGGTTAGGTCATAATTTGACCATCATTTATATTGCCAAATATAGCTTCAGCAGTATAATGTCTGTACTTTTGTGAATGTAATTTAGCCATAACTCAGTACAACGATGACAAACCTGTGAGATAAACATTTGATGTATTGAAGTTGATTACAAAAATGTGGACCACATTTCATTATTTGCATACTGCAGTAAGACTTGTAACCAATAACGGAAGTACTTGTCCTTGTTTTAAGATTGTTTTTAACAGTAATAAAAAAACTAGCACTTAGCTTTTTGATATAATTAAACAAAATCTTCATGATAAGCCACCTTCATTTATTGCACTTTCTTAAACTACCCGATGGCCTCTCACTGGTGGAATAAATTACGTATTCGCAGCAAAACATTAGGCATTCTATGTATTCTGTGTCAGTTATAAGTATAACAGAGAGATGCAGTAAAAGCTAGCAAGAGTACAATTGACCACGCATAAAAGAAATGTCAGTAAGCTTTTCAATGGGTGTATGAATCTCGCTCACAGCTCAGTGGTTTATGCTGGAGGACCTTTTGTAAGCTTCCAAGTCTATGCTCTTTTAGCCATGTGATCGCCTATAGAATAGTCTGAACCAGCGGGGGATGGAGGGGTGCAGTATCATAAAGGCACTGTGGCAGCAGCTGAATCTGTGTAAAAAGAACAGAACTTAAGCCCAAAAAACTAAGTCTTCCAACCCAGAGAAAAACATGGCAATTGGGCACCGGGGGCAGTTACAATGTGATGCAAATACAGTGCCTTTCAAGTTGGGACGATGTCCCAAAGCCCTTAATAGTACTAGTTGGGCAGCCGAGCTGGGGGTGACAGCCAAGGGGTTGAGGAGGAGAAAGATGACCGAAAGAATCAAGGAGCTAGGTCTTGAGACAGATCTTGAATGAGGTGAGGGAGGGAGCAAATTTAAACTCAATTAATTAAAAACTGTGCCACCTAGAAACTCACCTGCACAAAACTCCGTACCCCATCAAACCAGTCCTTGCCGGGCTCCTCTGGCTCCCGATTATGGAACAAATCGATTTCAAGATCCTTTCACTCGTTTTCAAATCCCTTCATGCCCTCGCACTGACTAATCTACCCGATCTACTCACCCCCCTCCACTCCACCACCCTCTACCTCCGCTCATCTGGCTCCGGCTGCCTGTTTATCCCTCATCCTTTCCACTTCACCAGTGGTGGCCATGCCTTCAGCCACTTTGCTCCAAAACTCTGGAACTCTTTCCCTCAATCCCTCCGCCTTGACCCCTATTTTTCCACTTTCAAATCCTGCCTAAAGATCTTCCTTTTTGATCTTACTTACAGTAATGTCCCACTCCCTCTCCCCTGGCTTGCTGTGAGAGTCCGCCACTGTCAAGTACTCCGAGGACACCACATAAATGCAAATTCTTGTTGTGTTGCTAAACATTTCACATACTCGGTGAAAATGCAATAAAAAGGAGAGAAAAATGGTAAGACCAAAGCAACTTCCTGAGGCCTGATAAAAAAGTCTTTCCAATAAAAGTGCAAAAAAAATCAAATTGTCGACCACAAATAGATAAACACACTATCTGATAGAGACAAGAACTGAAGATCTACTCAGAATGAGTTGATAAGTCAGCAAAGATGGGTGAAGATTGTTTAATACCGAGTGTGAAAATGCAAGGGTATGGGATCCCTGATAATTTTCCTCCATGGAATTATTATACCATACAAACTTACATTTATTGTAGCTTCTTTCATGTCGGGAAGAAGTCTGAAGGCATTGGACAGTCTAAGGTTTGCACCTGAGCTGGGGGTAGGGACCGAGAAGGTCTGAGGGGAACGTCTTGAGGTGTACCTTGAAGGAAGCGAGGGAAGGAGGCGAGACAAAGTGACTCTGGGATGAGGTTCCAGTTGGTGGGGAGATACGCTGAAAGGCTGACTGCTGATGTTGGGTGGGGAGTGGGGTGGATGTGAAGCAGACTGGTGCCTGCTGAACAGAGGGAGTGACCAGTTTTGTAGTCTTGAGAAGGTCACAGACCTTGGGTGGGGCAAGACCGTGAAGTGTATAAAGGTTAGGATGAGGAACTTGAACTCAATCCGCTGAGGAATGGTGAGCCAGTGGAACTGGGCAAGAATGGGGTGATAGGCTCACAGAGCTCAGTGCAGGAATAATCTGTTAATGTGGCAATGGCACTTGATAAATTGGGAATGAGGAGCTAAAGATGACAAAATACATTGAGCCAGATGACTTAAATTCCAACGTACTTTTATAAATGAACAGCACAGAATCATAGCACCATATTACTTTCCAATGATGCACAAGACAAATACGTAACTCATAGATATATTTTGATTAAAACTGAGCATCAGCCACACAACTGTATACTGAACACTCAAACAACACAGAATTACCAAAAGGTTCCGCAGGAAATTGGCACAAGATAAATTAAGCACTTGCTCAATTGTGGAATGAAATGTGCCTTCAAAATTAATTTGGTATTCCTGCACTCATTTTGGAAACACGTTGATGCATTTAATCATATGATTTGATTGGCACTGAAGTGAGTTTCATGAATTCTTTGAAAATATTTCTGCCTTCATGTACAACCCAACGAGTAATCATCAAAATGGCAGAAACCCATCTAGACACGGGTTCCAAAGTCTCAAAAAAAAAGCCGAAAATGTACGGTCCAACAGACATATCCATCGCCTCCTCCGCCCCTCAAAACTCCCCCACCACTGACGCCCCCCACCCCCATTCCTGTCCACTACACACAGATTCTTATTTTGTAAACAAATTGAAAGAAACTGAACTAAAAATTAATGAACCAAATCAAACAGAATAGCAAGAAACATTGTAGGATATGCGAAGGTTGAAGTAACCACAAACCATATTCACAGTCAGGCAATCTAATATTCTGTCATGTGTTCTATTTCTATGTACAACTGAACAGTACAGAAAGTGGAACTAGGAAGCTCCAGGACTTAATTATGAGACCAGCTAGGAGCACGAACGCACCAAAGCACTTGTCAATTTGAGAAGTTAGATAAGGCAATAATGCTTCAAAGCAGCATGTGCATGACTCTATATAGCTTCCTTGGAGATAGCATTGACTTTTAATAATTTATGCATTGGTTAAGCACTCTTCTTCACTATTGCAACCGAAAGAGCAAAATGAGCTGAATGTAGAACAATGGCTATGTTATACAGTCCCAAAAGCAATTAGTTTTAAATAAAAACAAGCAAATCTTGGAAGCAAACTACTTGATTATGAAGAGAAAACAAAGGTGCACTTTTATGAATATCCACAAGCATCAGTGTTAGAAAATTTAAAGCAAATGTGGGTTATTTATATACACAGCAGGATCACAGAGTCCATGCAATGTAAAAATGAAAGGTGCTGTGAACACCATAAAACAGAAAGGAAGATTATGACTAAATATATTTTTGTAAGAAGACTGAAATGCATAAAAAATTCATATCAACATATTCAGCTGTGAACTACCATATATTGTTTTTATATACTGAAATGAGGAAATTCAGAACCTTTTTACTGTATCCTTGCCGCTTCTGCTTTGCCCCGACAGAATAAAGTGCAGGAATTATGTCAACAGGACAGTCAGCAAAATACTCGCAGCAAGTGACGTGTGATTCATGTATGTCCAAAGGGTAAGGGTTTTCAAATAAAGGATAACTGTAAGAAAAAAAAGAGAGTCAATCTTAACACAGCAGAAATACGTTTGACTGAAAATGAAAAGATTTATTTCATAGACAGTGTACATATTTCTAACATGATCAAGACTTTTATCAGACGTAGTTAATTTAACTCCTAATTGAAACGGGACAAGGAGGCAAAACAGGCAAGAGGGAAATATATTATACTCCAATCCAAACGTTGCTCAAGATTAACTCATGAGCTTTGTAAATAGCATTTCACTGTTCCCCACATCTTAAATCACTGTACAGCTTGTACTTCTATTAAAAATATTTAGATCAATTTTCAAGACATTACAAACACTGAAGGTGCTTTAATACTCCCAGACGTATGAGCTCTTGTTACCACATGAGACAAACACTGGGCTGAGAAAAACCCTCTTTAAGGATTAAATAGAAAATGAAAGGGACCGCTTCAGCCATAACTATTGGATTTCATTAATGAAGCTGGTATTAGGCTAATTGTATGATTCAATACAAAAACTTTGATTGGGAAACAATGAGGAAAAATTAGATACTGTACAGGAGAGACATTGTTTAAATTAATATCCAACAACTTGCATTTATAAAGCGCCCTTCACGCAAGGTAGTGTCCCGGAGCACTTATACAGCAGGCCACAAAGATGTGTCAGCTTGGCGTGGGGGAAACACTCTGAGTTGGAATGTTGTGGGCTCAAGCCCCACATCAGGACTTGGAATCACGTAGTCTAAGCTGATACACTAATGCTTTGTTGGAGGGAAGTAAAGGTGTAATGTCGAAGGTGCTGTCCTTCAGATGAGATGTTAAACTGAGATCCGGTCTGCTTGTTCAGGTGGATGTTAAAGAGCCAAGGCACTATTCGAAATGAGAAGGGAATTTCTCCCAGTGTGCTGTCCAATAATCCCCCGCAAATAAAATTGGTCACTTACTCAATAGCTGTTTGTGGGACATTGCTGTGCGCAAACCGGCTGCCGAGTTTCACCCACGACAATTATGGACTTTTTAAAAAAAAAAATCAAGATAAAAAACATAATTATATTAAGTTTAAAAAAATATGAAATCAGACAAGACTGCTTAAAAGCAAGCCAAGCCCAATAGAAATAGATCAGGCATTGAGGGTAAGACATGGAAGTGGATTCTTGGCTCACTAAAGGTAAAGAAAGAGTAATCTCTCAGGGAACTTGGTCAAAAGGTACTGAATGGGATGCTTTAGAGGTCCATCTATCCGTTGTATATACATGACCATAATCACGCATTCAGTACAAAGCAGCCAAAATGTGTAGGCAATACCAATCCATGGGAAACTTTGGAATTAAGAGGGAGGAGCCAATTTCTTGCAGAGAGAGCTCAAGAAAAGGAATGCACCAATTATCATCAATGGCAAATATTCAATATAAATAAATGTGAAATGTGGCATAGAATAAGTAAAAATATACTTCAAGAACAGGATGGAGAGCCTAAGAGCAAGTTGAAGGAGATAATAATACTTGTGTTTGATATAGCGCCTTATCACGTTTTCGAGACGTCTCAAAGCGCTTCACAGTCATTTTATCAAATCTGGCACTGCATAGCTTCTCATTTATTTATCTGTAATAAATAAGAATTCTGACTGGACACACATTATAATAATAATCCTTGCATTTTATATAGCGCCTTATCACATCTTCGAGAAGTCTCAAAGTGCTTCACAGAATAAACTGCATAGTGAATTGACTGTATATTTTGTGGGTGAAACATGGCAGCCACCTGCGCACAGTAGTGTCCCACAAACAGTCAAGGATTGAGTGACCAAATTATTAATGTAGTTGAATCATTGCTTATGATCCTGAAATAGTGTGAAGCAGTTAAAAAAAAATGACAACCAGGATGCTGGGTTGAGCTCAGATCCCAGAAATCATGTTCAAGCTGAACAGTGCTCTGATCAGCGTGCACCTGGAGTACTGCATAAAGTTCTGGTCATCATGATATAATGGGATTATTCAAGTCTTATAAGCAATTGAGAGGAAAGTAATGATCCTCAGTATCACAGGGATAAGGAATAAGATAAGTCACTTCAGTTTAAAGAGCTGTCTCAGGAGGGGACCTTAAAGAGGTTTAAAATGCTAAATGGGATTGAGGAAGGAAACCCAGAATACACATTGACGCACCAAGGCAGCAAGACTAGAGGGCACAGATTCCGGATTCAATTTCAGAGCAGACACCAAGCTACTTCTTTACGCAAAAATAAATCAACAGCTAGAACAGGTTTCTATCAAGACTTCCGATAGGCCCATTAGACACATTTAAGGAACAGCTTAGTTCTGTGGTTATGCAAATGTTAGGATGGGTATTCTGAAAGAGTGAGATGAACTGGGCTGTAGGCTTCTTCATCCAGACCTGTCTTGGTATCACTCTCACCCCCTGTCCCAAAAAAACACTAGATGTCCTTCAATAAAAGGCAAAATACCACAGATGTTGGAAATCTGAAATAAAAACAGAAGTAGCTGGGAACACTCAGCAAGTCAGGCAGCACCTACGGAGAGAGGAAAGTGAGTTAACTTTTCAGGTCGATGACATTTTGTCAGACCCTTCCATCAATAATCTCTATGCTCCTATTCTTAGCTATATTATTCCACTTAGTGCCATCTAGAGACATAGGATCAGTTTTCAGCCACAATTCCTAGCTTCCACTTTTGATTTTACACAGAATTACATACAATGTTATGTTCATAGAAACAGGCCATTCAGCTAGCTCATCTGTGTCCACGTTTATACTCCACACAGACATCCACCCCTCCAACACCTCTATTCCCTTCTCTCGGGATAAATTAATTGCAGAACGATGCTGTTTTAATTGACAGCTCATCAGATTAAGCCTCAACTTTCTCCAGCTAAGCCAAGTATGCTTGTTATTGAGCCAAGTGCCTCATTAACACGCTGTTACGCTGGAAGTGATGTCAGTGGTGATCGCACGAGCAGCTGTTTCCTTTTATTTCCACAAATCTGTTATAAGGTGGTAACTACTTCTTTGCATCTGAATCACAATGTTAACATGGATCAATGTGCATTTTAACAATATTAATGTGTTTAGTTACTCATCTCCAGTTCCAATTGCTTTAACTTTATTTGGCATAAATTGGTGCAAGCATGTCTTTCCAGAGTCAGCTACTCTAATTTCTACTCCTTCCCATATTTTTCTATATTTTTCCTCTTTAAATAATAATAATCTCTGCATTTGTTTATCGTCCATCGCATCTGGAGGACATTTCAAAGAGCTTCACAGGATTCATAAACAACTGTACACTACAGACAGCCATGAAGCAAATGACTATTTAGATTTGGGAGATTGTTGGCCAAGACACTGGAAGAAATTACTCTCTCTTTTCAAAATAGTGCCACGGGAACATTCACATCCACCTACACAGGCAAACGCATCCTAGGTTTAACATCTCATCTGAAAGCCAGCAGCTCCAACAGTGCAGCACCCCTTCAACACTGAATTGGAGTGCTAATGTAGACTGTGAGTTCAAAGAGGCAAGACTGCTACCAACTGATCCAAGCTGACACCCTAATGCTTCCCTTTTGAAGGTTATGGTCGCAGCCTCAATTGTACTTTGTAGCAAATCATTCCCACTTGGAACCTCCTTTTACTGGATAACTCTTTTACTGATAATGCTCAGTTTGTAACACATTGTTACCATTTTTTTTAAGCAGAAAGAATAATCTTTTATCTCAGAATTTTGAAGTTTTTAAGATCCTTTCTTAACTTTCTCAGTTTCAGTCAAAGCAGAACCAATTCAGCAAGATTGCACTCTTAACTATATAATTACTGTGAAATTATGTTATTCCTTTCCAAGACCCCAACATTCTTTCTGTAATAGAGGAAAATCCAGAATTGTGCATAGTTCTGCGTAAAGTAATCCCATAAATGCAAAATATTAAGGTCAGTAACTTTACCAACCCACAGGAATGAACAGTTCTGATCCCTGCCGCTTGCTACAGTAAATATTAATAGACGTTAATTCAGTGATAGTATGTACTTTACTACTAATCAGCAGCTGCAAAGAACACTCCATTCTTCCACTTCTTTTTCAAGCTGCCAATTCTAAATTTATATTCACAATGTGAGTCATAAAGATGGACCTCTTTACCAAGACTGAGAAGTTATTAAAATACACTATTTTCACAGCAATAAATGACATTTCTGGAGACTGAAAGGACTACAAAATTAATCCCACGTGAACAAATTATGTAAATTACATGAGCATGAATAACAAATTGGATTGAATGAATTGTGTCCTACATGATGCCATTTTGAAACATTTCTCAGATGAATCTCTCCCCCTCCCCTTCCTCTACCCAGAAAATATGCAGCTCTACTTATTGTATCCAAATGGATCAGTGTTTCAGTCTCACTAGGCTGGACAGCTGCCAATATGCTCATCGCAAGTTCGGAAATATTTGCTACTTGCTGTTATTAGTTACTGATTGGCAATGATAATGAGTAATTATCCATGGAGGAAAATATTGGGCATTTTATCCGGTCCAGGCTTATGACCCGTTCATCAGTTGACACAGGAATAAGACAAGATGCCAAAACTGTCCTTTTTTTTTCGCGTTTTAAAAAAAATGTTGGAAATCCTTTGAACCTCTGGGAGAATTTCAATAGTTCAGTCATGATTAAAAACATTAGCAAGCATGAATAAGATCAGACACTGCTTCAATCGTTCCTTTCAGACAAAGTATATCCTACACTATAATGGGTCGTAAAATTCCCATAAAAACACCTCTGCATATTTGACCCTATGCCCAAACTTTATCAACCAATATTGCAGAGAATTCTGGCACCCCTATAGCTTCATTATTTAACCTTGACCTGCTGCCTCTTGAGACATTTTTGTTCCAACTCAGCAATCAGAAAACACTGTTCAATGGAGTGTGATCATCTTAGTCAATATCCAACACTTTATTCTCCAAACCCATTCTTAACCATAATTGTTTAACTATGGAAATGACAATGTAATTTGAATTTCAACATGGGATCCTTACCCATTTTGTGCAAGATCTATAACTACCAAATCCTTTTCGAGAAGCACCACTACTGCATACGGATCTTGAAAATCTGTAAGAAATCAAAATAAAAAAATAATCACACCTGGTTTTATACAATCTGTTTGAAGTAATCATCAATATTTAGCATTTTGAATTATGAAAATCGATTGTTAGTTCTAATTTTCTCTGAAAGCCAGAGAGCCCCATTTAATGAGTTTCATATTTCTCTTCACCCCAATTCCTTTGATTATAGGATGATAATAAGAATAATTGATTATAGAAAAATAATTTGGTCACTCAATCCATGACTGTTTGTGGAACACTGCTGTGTGCAAATGGCTGCCGTTTTTCACCCAGAAATATTCATTCAGTCAACCAATTTTACAGTATATTCTGTGAAGCAATTTGAGATGTCTTGAAGACATGATAAGGCGCTATATCAAATGCAAGGACTATTATTATTAAGGCCTCAAGATTTCAGAAATATTTTCTGTTTCTCAGAATCATTCCTCCATTGCTCTTCATACCAAAGCAGCAGTTCACTTGGGCAATTAATTTATCCTAGGTTATTTTATTGCAAGGCTTTGAAAAAGGTTGCATATTTCTCTTTAAAAAAATTGCTGATTGGTTTTCTCACAAGTCTAGTGGGTTATTGCTGTGCTTGTCCATGTAAGGAAGGTAGAAACTACTTCTTCATTTTATACTTTTAAAAAAGGCATCCTAATAAATTCTGTACAGCTAATGGTTTCAAAAGATGATTCAGAATTGACAACGGAATAAAGACTGCTAATTTTCCTTTCATAAGAGTACCGCTTAGCAGAATCAGAGTGCTGCTGTAAATCTTAGGTTTAAAAGATTACATTAACAATTCTTATTTGGTGGACAATTCAATTGAGTTGCAACAGCTTCTCCATGCGTCAGATAAGTTCTTTAAAGAAAATGGGTATTTAGATTACAATTCTAATATTAGAATACTCATTCACCAACATACTTGTTGAAATTTTTAATAGAATTTGATAGACAAACGATAGTGATTGCAAGGCAGTAATTTGATGAAATGGGGCTGGTATCATCAATTCTGACACCAAAGTATAAGCAGTTTAGAAATGCCTACAGAATCCTGAAGAGATTACAACTTTGAGTTTTTTTTAAATACAGGCTGTGTACTTCATTGAGTGATTATTCAGTTCTGGGTCTATTTTGCGATTGACAACAACTCTCAGCGTTGGCATTGAGGGTTGGTATGGTGCAGGCTGCTGACGCACAAGCACATTCATAGTGCAGGATTAATGATGACGGAATCATGGATGACATTAAGCAACACCTTAGTTTGGACTTTGGGAACCATTTAGTATACATTGAACCACAGTCTTATTTGTAGACAAAATACAATTTTTTTTCAAATTTAGCATTTTTTTTACTATTTTAGGCAACCCTTCCTCCCATTCAGAATGCACCAACTCTTAGTAGCATATATTTCAACAGATGCCCACTTCCCTCTACTACTGTATCTAAATATCCATTCTTCATATGTGAGCCAGGCAGTATTAGAAAGCTTTTTGACCTATAGACCTACAGATCAAGCAAGCGTAACTTTCTGAATAAAAACCCTGAATGACATTTTCTTTTCCCGACCAGAGCTGCTGAGGGAATTGTGCTATAAATGTTGCCTGGCTGAGACCAGATAACGCAGCACAGTACCGTGATACAATAGGGCCTCTCTTTACCTATAGGGGCATTTGTTTGTCTATAAATACAATCACTTACAGGAATTTCCTTTTAAAGCACAGTGAAATATTCTGACATTATAGGCGGTATATCAAATGCAAGGATTATTGCATATTATTAACCAATCTTTCACCTTCAGTTACCTTCTGTGCAGTTTCTCCATTGTGTGTGGTTCCAGCATTGTGTGAATATTTCACGTTTCTACCATTCAAGTTTTTTTTCTTTTAATTAATATGCATGTGGATTTTTTTGGGGGGAGTGAAGAATGCAACATTGTTTTAATTTGAGGTATACGCACAATCAAGTAACATTAGCAAACCTACCACTAGGATACGGCGTTTCACACAGGGTTAGAAAGTCAACAATTGGGTAGTCCATTTCAAGTACTGCAGTGCTCTTCCCATGCATCACTGTTAAACATGGTCTTCTGCCTACAGTATCATATGACAGACCTCCTGAAAAAATGATGAAAGGGTCTCTGGAAACAAGAATTATAAAATATTTGGTTAAAACTAACATTTATTCTGGAGGTTTACTTTAGATCTAGTCATATTTTCTTCAGTGATTTTTGGAATGCATATGAGTTTTAATGCAAGAACAGTACATAAACCGACATTTTCTTAAAAGCTTGTATTTACTGCAAGATATTTGATTGCGACAAGAATGATTGTTTATGTAACATTACAATATTCTTCAAAAATAAGCTTTTGTAAAATGAAATTTGTAAATACTTTGGCTAGCTGATAAGCAAATGAAAAAAAAGTTCACTTGCATTAGTCACTTAACTTACAAATATTTAAAGTAATTAGGTGCTGAATTTGGGTTATTTCTTGGTTTTAATTGCACAACTGAAAGAAAATTGAACACAAGCATAAAGTTTGGTTATACCTTTACACACAGGTTAAACACTTGTTAGCTTTTTTGGACAATTGTTTTCCCTTTTTTCTGCTCTCTCTGGAAGGCAAAGACTTTTCAGCTCAAGAATTCAAAAGGTATTTGACAGTAGTTCCTGCACCTTAACCAAATGGTCATTCTTCAGATGTATCAGCGGGTTACTTGACTGTGGACAGTTTGCACAACCAAGTCCAAGTCTGTTCTCACCCATGCATAATATAAGCAGAAGAGTTACCAGATGTCAAACGGGAGTGGGAATCCACTGATTTGTTTTCCTCTCCATAGTTCCATGGGCACAGATGCCAATTATAACACCCTTACTAAACCCTAGCTAGGTTCAGCATATCATTACAAAATGGGAAATGAGCCTGCAACTTTCTGTTCAATGCTGCAACGAGCAGTAGCTTTCTCCATTCAGTCAACAATGCAGCAGTATCTGTGTTTTTTATGAATATTTTCAACAGCATTTCAAAGTAATTCATGAATATTCCAACATTTGACATTGGGTATTAAGTATCCAAAAGAGACCCTTTGATCTTGGGGACATCAAAAACTGGAAGTGATGAAGAACGAAGCTGGCAACTAAACGTTCAAGTCAGGTTATAGGTCAGGTGAACTCCATCATTATCCACCTACAAATAGATGTTCTGTTATGACAGCCGAATACCAGACAATGGTCAAATCTTCCATAATGACATGTGCAGGTTAGTATACTTGGTACTCACTCAACTGTGATTGGAAACAAGGTGGGAGGGGGCTTCTCTGGCAAAACCTCCTCTACTTCCTTGGGGAGGACTCAAAGGAGCCATGTCAAATCCTCAAAAAGCATATGACATTTGAAAAAAAATTGGAGCAGATAATCTTGGGAACAAGAACAGAAACCTCTTTTCTTCTTCACCCTGCTGCCACTTGTGGGAAGGCATTGGGCATTCTTGCAAGTATCAATGGCTCCACTGGAGATAGAAGGTGCCCTTCTCTTCCTTATAACCGATTTCCAGCCAAGCGGTTAAGAGCTGGTGCAGACTCAAAAGACCAAATGGTCCCCTTCTGTGCTGTAAAATTCTATGACTATGATTTATAGGGAATTGGACCAATGCATATTCTGGAGTGACTACTGGCCCCTAAGCAAATGCGTGAGTGGGAGAAAAGAGGCCAATCCTGATTGTTTGTTTCTAGACAGTTATATTAATGAGCTCATGATTAAGCATTGATTGATTTTATTCCTTGATGGATACGTTAAGGGGTGTTTCAGAGGAAGGAGCCAGAAGCTACACAAAGGTGCCCCAGAAAAAAATGGAGGCAAAGGAAAGACTTTGAATAGGCTCCAATACTTACAGCACCAGGCAGAGAATGGCTTTAGGAGCTCTCAGATAGCAATAGATAAGTATAAACTGTAAGGTTCCCAAATGACTTGGAATTACTCGAGGTAGAAGAATTACTCAAGGGAGAGTTCTTCAAAGACAACAAGATAGCAACTGGGATTTGCTTACTGGACCTCGCTATTGTAAACAGTGTCATTTATTCAATCAACATACAGTATTTTTCTTAGTCTTCTCAGAAGCATAGGACACCAGTCAGTACTGAGTCATGCCTTGTGCCACTAACTGAGATCTCCAGAGATGCATTACAGTACGAATATACCCTGATTAGTGTATCCTGATTAAATCGAAGAAGCCATAAATTATTGCATAGTGCAAATCAGAATCAAGAATACATTCTTTCTGCAACTAGTTGAGTTCTCTATTTTAGGCTTTCACCAGAGCTAAACATCAAATGCCTTTTGTGTAGCTTCCATTATAGGCACCCGGTCTGCCACATACCTGTGGTATTAAAGGAGACTTTGAGGAAACTAAAGCCTTGGTATCTACAGCAGAAGTAACAAGATCTGGGGAACAGTAGCCAGCCTAATCTAAAATTATACTGGTGTCAGTCATAATGGAACACACAAAATTATCCTGATGCAAGAGTAATAACCCAGGTGACATCAACCAAGTTATTGGGATTGGATTGATGCCACAGACAGAATGAACCAACAGGGTATTGAAAACAAATGAATGTATAAGACTAAATAGACCTTCAAAATTATAAAACTCTCCAAATTGGTTGTGGATAAATGTTTTGCAGAAAGCATGGGAAAAATAATCTAACCATGTATCAGTGTGGGACACTGATGCACCGTGTAGGAATGGAAAGAATCATGTGTCAATGATTTAATCGAGCTAACAGTTTTAAAAGATCATCAACTTCCATGATTTTCTTAAATTGTAACAGCTCATAAACTACTGCAGTAAATTTAGTATCAATGAAAGCCTTTAAAAACAAAACGCTGATTCAACAGGCTTTGGGAAAATACAAACTCTGTACAGAGGTAAGAGAAAGGGTAAAATGGTCTATGAGGTTCTGGACTCAATTGATTATTGAGCGCTCTGGATATAATGGCCTTTCCTACCTTATGTTATTTTACTACCCCCATATAGAACCAAATTCTAAGCAGATGCAATGTTCATGGACAAAATATGAGCCTTCCCAATTCTGTTTAAACCAAGGGTAGGAAGTGTTAATGAAGTGGAGAGCTACAGACGGTACAAATATAGACCCACATTGAATAGTACAGATCTCTCAATTAATATAAAAAAGCACATTTTAAAAACAAGATGTGGACATGTTTGCAACTACTTTGCTGCTTTGTCACCTCACCTCACTGTCCATTACTCTTGATGCTACATTCTGTAACATCAGCATGCTTCATAAATATTTAAATATCTAAAAATAAGCTGACTGGGTCTGTTTAAACTTTCAAATGAAAATGGGTAACAGGAAATCTACAGGCTCCTACATTTAAAAGAACAGTCTTAATGATGAGTTTTGCCAGGAAGCATTTTTAGTCAGGTCACCATTTCTTGAAGTTAAAATATTTAGAAAATAAAGCATTGAAGAATGCCATTCAGCCTATCTATCCCAAGATGATGCTCACCTATCCAGAGAAATTAATTATTCTAATCCCAATTTTCTGATCATTCCCTTTACCAGTTTATATTCTTCCTCCACAAATTCTTTTTAAATATCATTATAACCCCAGGCTCAGTTTTAAGGAACGATTCTTGTAAAACTTCTTTGTACAAGTGAAAACAGACCTATTTTTGTCCAAGCTGAGACACATATCCTCTCTGTATTTTCTGCAATGGAGTGTTCAAAACCACATGCGTTGCTCTGATTGTAGCCTAATCAATATCTTGTAAAAAAAAAACAATACCTCTGTTGTCCCTCAATTTCTAAGTCTAGAGATAAAGTAAAATGTTTCACTCAACTTTACATGAAGTAAATCAATTTATCATTCTCTGCATCAGAATCTAACCCTTTTCTCTTTTGTCTGTAGTGGCTCTCCGACTACAGTACATCACTTAACTTCAAACAAAGGAATAGTAACCGAGTTCCTCAGCAATGTAGCTCTGCTACTACCCATTAGGAAGCAAGAAAAAAAAATAGATTGTTTGGCCTCCGATTTCCCTCTTTTTATGGGGAAATGCATAGACATCTCTCAGCAAGTACCCTAATACAGTCGAGAACAAACCTCAACGCAAAGGACAATGCAAATGAGTGCGTGGTGCACTATTGTAACAAATACAATAACTGTCCAGCAGAAGTCTTCATTGCAAAGACCCATTGTACAAAGACATGCATTGATTATTTGTACGCTATAGTAGCATATCTATATTGAAATAAAATTCTGCAAGGTTACATTTGTAGATTTTATGAAAGATATTGCTAATTAAGAAACATTCTACTTTTCTATTTTCTATTTCATACCACAAAAAACGGCTTAACTTGTGGATATGAATATACATTCAATTATACGCCATTGAAATAAGGTTACAAATTTCATTAGAATAGATATGAAAATCCAATAGTCCAGGCTAACAGTGCCTGGCATGAGTAGCAACTGAGAAATCTATTTGAAGTACTAAAGTCCATAATACATGACATTATCAAGGCTGAAAAGAACAGGAAAGAGGACAGCATACAATATGCTGCAAATACATGATGCCAAACTTGGGTTTTTAACAGTATCTAGATTGTCAATAAATGAAGCAGAGATAAGTCTTGAGGTCCTGAGAAAGAATGAATCAGAGTAGAATTGGATTTTTTAAATTTTACTAGAGAGGGTGCGGGAGGGCAATATATTTAGAGATTGGGAGGGAAAAGGAAAGAGGTGTGAATACTTATTAGTACCTATAAATGAAGAAAGATGAAATACAATGGCTAAAGATGTCACAGGTAAGAAGAAAACAAGCTTTTCTCTGTGTCCAGTTATGCTAAACCTGTATCTGAATGTGATGCGGTGTTCTAGTCTTGAACTGACATCAAAGTAGAGTTAGTTATTCAGGAAAAATTAAATAGTTGGCATTCTTGGAGGGTACTTTAGCATGGAAGAGATGTGACCCAACAGCTCTTGTTGGGATCAGAGAATGAACTTATCAAATGTAGGAGATGGTACAGGAGAAATGGTTTTATGAAGAAGCAGAAAGGGTTTCAATTTGAACATTACCTGCTCTCAACCTGACTCTGTAGTGTTTGTTGCTTATAAAACTGAAAATACAATAGGATACAGTTCCCTAGGTACTGACATCTCAATGATGAATAGAAAGGTTTGTTGTTTTAAAACATTTCTTTAAAAAATGTACTTACCCAGATTTACTTGTTTTGTATTCTACTTTTAGGATTGGCTTGCATGGTTCGGGTTTCTTTCCATCTTTTGGAAACTTTCCTGAAAAAAAAATTATTATTAATTTCAACCTTTACTCCAGAGCTAAAGTGACTGAAAACCCGCAAATTATTCTGCATCTCAAAACATGCTGTTTATCATCCTCAGTTTCAGACGTTGAGAGGGCATCATCATTTCATATAGCAGCAAGACTAAGCAGAACAATTAAGGAACATAGTTCTCTGTTTTACTTCCAAGAAGGGCCAGAAAGGGAATGAACAAACTGTGCCTTTTTCATCTGAACTACAAATATCCATTCACCCATTCAAAATAAAACAATCAATAGTAAAAGGTAACAATTTGCAGAAAAAAGGCAGACATTGAACCTCTATGTATTCAGTGGGCAATTACTGCTGTCTCTAATAGAAATCTTGGAATAGGGTAAATATTTATTAAAGGCCATCATGTCCATATATTTCCACTTACCGTGTGGTGTAATGATCTGTGCAGGCTTCAGAGGGGATTTTACATTCCAAGTTGTAAGGCTGCCATCTGAATGGCTACAGGTGAACTGTTTCCCTTCATGATGCCAAGCAACAGAATGGATAGCCTGCACAACAGAAAATATTTTTGCTATTGGTTTGATAACTGAGAACATTAATATAATAGACACGATTCTAACATATCATTGAATATATCGAGTTTAACATTATGCTTCCATAAACTATAGTTTAAAAACATCCAACAATAATAACAGAACATTTAAAATATGACTTAAAAACAAAAAAAAGACAGTAATGTACATTTAAGCTCATGAAAATACCTAGATTAAGACCACTTTTGAAAGAGTAAATTTTTCTTTTGTGGATTTGCTGTAAAAGCAGAGTGATTATAGAATACTCTCAATGCAAGTTTAAACAAGAACAGAATAAGAAGCCTTTACTCAAAAAAAAATTACCCTACTCAATCTGATATGCTCTCAAGATCCCGTGATTAATTTGGTCACACTGAATTCAATGTTTCCTTGCAACTAAATAAATATGTACCTTTCCAACTATCACAATTAAAAGGCATTTTTATCACAAAAATCAACCACAAAAACAATCACATCTGCAAAACTCATGGCTACAGTTGCAGCCAAAGCCATTGATCGATCACCACTGCAGTTGGGCTCAAAAACTTCTATAACATTTGAATATTTATAGCAACAAATCCAACATATGAAACCTGAAAATACGAGTGAACTGAAAACAAAAACTTGGCTAATTCCAAACATTGGATGGTATTTGATTTCTCAAATTTATACAAGCTATAGCCACCAATCGAATGTGTAGTTTTTTCATTGTGTATTACCTTCATTGTTCTGTTTTAGAAGTTAAGGACTTTAGTAGAACAAAGTGGAAAAACACCTCCACATTTGAGTCATTTTATATATTAGGGCACTACTTTGAATTGTGACATGCCGCAACCAATATACGTGTTTGAATACTGACACTGAGCTGAGTAATCACCTCAGTTGAGACCTCCTAGCTTCACAGTAAGTTCAGCTGACGTATATCCTACAAGGAAGAGTCATGGGTACTTCTCAAATCTAAATTACACTAAACTCCATCAGGCAGATACATAATTAAAAAACGGAAGTTGGCATCATCTGAGTTGCCATTTCAGCCACCCCTGCGATCAACTACTTGATTCTGCTTTTTTCAACCATCAAAGGCTCCTGACAATGCAGATATATATCCAATAAAGGCAAATGCAAACAATGAACATAATGGTCACAGAGGAGGACTTGTGCAGTTAAGATGATAAGGACATGGAGGCCCCAGTGTAATTTAAGTTGCCACTCTGAAGCTTAAAACTTAAAGCTGGTGAGCATGCAAATTAAATTTAAAATCATATTTTTTACACATATCGAAATAATATTGATGAAAGAAGATAAGAAATAATAAAAGGTTTGAGTGCAGGGAACAGAAATCCAATGGCTCGAGAATGGAAAGTCTCTTAATAAGGTTGTAATTTTCAGGCATAGGTGAATAACAGGGTTCCAAGAGAAAAGTAACTAGAAATGCAAATGCTTACTCATTAACTTCCCAACACCTTGTATTCTTATAATATACACACTTACCTCGTCATAGCTGTATCTGTACTCCCCCTTCTTTGATTTCAGATCCCACAATACCAGAGTTCCAGACTCAAAACCAATTAAAAGCTGCAAAGCCAAAAAGGGAAACATAAGGCCGTTTACACCACCCAAGTAAAGGCTATATGTAAAGCACACAATTCTTCTACTTAAGTAAAGCATGTACAAATGCTGTAATGCTCCCCCTCGACTAATAAAGTCCATGGCTATGGTGATTACAATAAACAATAAAGCTGCAAATAGACAATGTTAACTTAATTTTATTCAACTCCAAAAAGGTATGAGACACCAAAACTTGCCAAAAATGTTACATTTCAGACTGCATCCTGTTGCCTTAGCACACCTGATAATATTTTTCTGAACTTTCTTCCTTTGTTATTCATCTTAGACACTTTTAAGTACCGGTCAGACAAATCCTTTTGTGGGGGAAGAGTTCTAGTTTATCTAGTCATTCCTTATTGCTTATTCCTCTTACAAGGAATCAGCTTCATTCCTCTACTCTGCATTGTTACTTGAGCAGTCAGCTCTCATGTCACAATGACCAGAAGGGTGTGCAGCGCTCAATGTGTAGCCTGACCAGAACACGACATGTGGGAATTTGATTTTAACTGATTTGGTAATGTAGCCCAGATCCTGTTTGTTCTGTATATTGGCACTTTACAGTGTTTGGATAAGGTGAACCGCAAGTCAATTAATACATCTAAATCTCTTGCAACTTGCTCTTTGGCAAATTATCTCTTCCATGAATATTTGTACATTCTATTTTACTTCTAATATTTAGCCCTTTGCATTTGCCGCACATTCAACTTCCATCTCCTCAATTTGGGTTAATCTCCTTCTGGCCAAAGTCACAGAAATGAACAACAACAAATTGTAGCCAATCTTGGCACTATATCTTGTGTGCAGCGAACCTCAAGATCAATACTCTGTCTAACCTAGAATAACAATATTTTTCATTATGCAGAGAACAACTTCTGTTTTTATGCCCTACTTGCAATTTTCCAAGAATCCACATGCCTTCATCTTGAAATTGAGGAATGAAATACTGCATTTCACCTTTCCAGCTCTTCTGAAGCTTTCTTGTTTCAGTTAGATGGAGGACTAATGCGTTCACTCCATAAAGACAAATTATCTTCCGCATGACTGCCTAACATCTGCACAGCTTGCCTATTGCCTAAATCTGGAGACGTTTCATAATCTAGAATGTCATCAAAGAGAAGATCTAACATCAAATTCTGAAAAACGGATTACTTGAAATCTAAACATGGGCAAGCCAGCACAAACGCTATTGCATTTAGGAATAAAGCCAGACACATGAAACTGCAGCTGTAGCAGAGAACATTTTCCATCGGGGGAAAGAGAAAGAAAAAGCTTTTTTTTTTATATAAGATTTTATTACTTTGGAATGTCCCAAAGCACTTCCCAGATAATCACTGCAAAATATGACTAGTCCTGCATTCGAATTTGGAATCCATTTGCACCAGCAAGGTAGGACAGCTTTGAGGTGAATGCCCAATTAATCTAGGGAATTGACAAATACGTGGAAGAAAATCATCTCATTTTGGGGATCTTTAACATTGACCTAAAAAACTCTTGCAATATTGCACTGAAGTGTCAGGCTTGTATTTGAGCTCCAGGATAAACATGAGGCTTGAATCCACAACCTTTTGATTCAGAGGCAAAAGTGCTACAAAACAGACAGAAGGTTCTTTTTGAAGCATGCATACCTTTGACGTTTCGAGTGCAATTGTGGTGCTTAGCCACAAGAAAGCAACCTCCAGAAAAATCAAAAACCACTAAAGGAACCTCACTGATTTCAATGACTCTTTGGTGCACTGCATTGCAGTGCATATATTGGTAGCAGTTAAGTCTGCAGTGTGGTCAGAAAGGTACAGGCCAACTTCGCTCAGGCGAAGAAAATGTGTACATGTTGTGGCTTTGTACAAGATTGTCAGGGATCAATGTAACTTTCATTCATTTCTAGAAAGCTTTGGATCAAGTGCCTTGTGCTACTCATGTGGAAACAATTGGGTTTCAAAGCCAAATACTGTATCTCATCTTAGTTGCGTAACCTAGCTCCAGCTTCAGGATGCATTTTAAGAGTTGACAAATTGGTGGTGGTGGTAGTCGGGAGGGTGGGGGAAGACAGAAGTGACATGATTCAAATAGATTGCTGCAAGGTTACCCACTATCGCTCATCGTATTTGATTTCTTCAACAGCAATGTATTAAGTGATATCAAGATGAACATTTAAATGTGTTCCAAATTTTTGCTACACCACACCAATCGGGAGGATATCCAGCAAGTGATGCTGCTTCAGCTCAAACCTGTGCTCGTCAACTGGCTTAAAACCAATTTATCCTTCTGGGAGTATATAAATGAGGTAAGATGGCTCCATGGTGATAATGCTAGGTAAAGGGCAAGCGCAGCTGAATCAACTCTCTACTTGTGATCTACTGATTCAATACTTGAGCTAGGCCAAGATGCTAAGGCACTACTGATGAGTGACCAGCCTGCCTGACTAGACGCATAACAGAGACGCGATCCTTTCCACCCAGCTCCTGACTCCTGAATTATCAGTTCCCTTTCTATTTCTATGTTGAAAGAAATAAAAATCCAGAGGTCATTCAGTAATAGCTGTATGTGTTAATTCAACGCTCTCACACCACCAAGCTCTGCACCACGTCAAATTCAGTATCTTCATTACTGTCATTAGCAATTGGTGAAAATAAATCTGAAAGCTCACACAAATGGCAGAATGAGGTGTCAAATATGTTGTCTTTTTTTTTAAAAAAGGAGATCTCGATACTTCTGCTTCCTATTTATGACCTTGGCAAATATACTAGAAATGCTTCTGTTTACACAGTACATCAAGTTACGTAGGAAGCACGCAGAGGAATATATAAACAAGATTTACAAGGACAAAACAACTGAGAAGATTAACAGCAAATGACATTTAAATTAAGAAATTCAAATTATTCCACACAGTTTACTAAAATATCAAGTATGACTGAACCAGATTTATTGTGAAATGACTAAATAGAAAATCTTAAATTGTATTGTGTGCCAGCAACTTCTGGGGCCATACACGCAGACTGCATATATATATATTATATAAAAAAAGTCTTTATGAAAACAAGAGTTCTTTGTGCAGCTATAAATGCATTGGAATGTCAGGTCTGAAGTATGGAATAACTGATCAAGCTGAATAGATGGAACAGCATCCTCTCATGTCTCTACCTTCTCATGTAAAACACCTCAGTTCAGTAGTTCAGTAACTACAATATTTCATGCGCAAGACAGAAGAAATCTTGTTATGAACATTTGATAGCATATTTCACTTCTGTTTCTGTTAAGGCTAATTTTAAACTAATAACCAGTTATACCAGTAACTGTTCTAAGGGTTATATGTACCTTGCCTTCATCCATGGGATTGTCACTGATGTGGACAATGAGTCCTGGGTGCGATTTAGATGACCTGCAATTAAAAGACTTATTTAGCTGGCAGAAAAGGAAAAAACATGGGTTCATGCAAAGTTCTGAAGAACAGAACACAAACCATCTATTAAATTATATGAGTCACAAACAATCTAGCAGTTTTATTATAGTTACAGTTATCACTGTTTGTTTTAAGCTTGAAGATACAAATTATTGAATCATTCATTTGTCATTAGTGCTCCACTCAGTTCTACATCATGTCCAATGTATTATACTCCTGTAAAAATGTACTTGCTCTATTCAACTTGCTTTGCATTTTAGATAACTATTTTGTATTTTTAAATTATTTTTAAATCAAGCATTATTGTAGTTGCAGTGCACTTTGGTCTTCAGTCCCCTTTCATATTACATGAAACAAGACCACCAATTAATTTTGAAATTGTTTTTAAAAATTATTCGCCAGTATTCCAACAAGAGAATTGAAATATGTGAAACAGTGGACACCAACTCTCCCTTAAACATCAAATTTTGCAGAGATATAGTCCTACACACATTGGCTGCTTCCCTCAAGTGACCATTCTTTATGTGTGAGGTAGATAACTGTGAGCAGGCGAGGTGACAACGAAGTTGATCATAGTGGAGCCCTAAATCATTCTCACCCAACTCCAAACAATGGATGTCAATCACAAGTGGGAACTTTGCATGATTTTTTCCCCAGTCAAAAGGCAGAGGATACCTGTTAATACCTGTATTGCTGTTCTGGCTATGATCCGCTAACTCAGCACAGGTCAGAAAGCAAACCAGTTTTGCCTTGGCAATGCCTTTACCAAATGAACTGTCAAGGGACTTTTAGTGACTTAACAGCGCCAATACAATAAAGGAGGCAAATTTAATCGTAGCAAACTAAACCAGGAAACAGTAAGAGTCAGCACAGAAATACTGATTCTGCAAACCTGGCGATGACCATTGCCAGGAAGAAGAAAGCGTTTAACAGGAGGGTAGGGGTCAAAGCTAAACAGAAAGTATATCAAAACAAAGCTTTAAAAGTGGAAACCCAGTGAGTCATGTAAACAAAACCTACCACTGAATTCTTCCCAGTTCAATTTTGCCACCAGTACTTTCCTCCCCATTTCAGCAACCACTCAAACGGGACATTGAGGAGAGTTGAACAGTGGGACAATAAGGGATCTAACACTACTCACCATACACAAAGAAATTAGACAATGCCCAAAGTGTTACTTGTTTAAACTGAAGTGAACACATAATCTGCTAAAACTGGACAAAATCCCATAGTGACTGGATTTTTTTTGATGAGTCACAACAACAGGACTATTGATGGCAGAATATAGTTTCAAGCTTTATAAAACAGATCAACCTACCTATCCAGTATGAGAGAGAAATTGCAAGCCTTGATGAGTTGTTCTACATCTCAATGTCAACATTATTGAGGGTCTCCTGTTTGACCCCATCATACCTCTTCACCTCAGGCACTGATCACATCGACCTGTATGGGTGCTCACCACGGAGCCAGTGAGGAACCTCATCTTGTTCGAACCCCAACTATCTTTCACACGTTTCATCCGAGTACTCACTAGTGCTGCTTTCCCTCATCTCTGCAGCATCACATGCCTCTTCTTTGTCCCAGTCTTCTGAGACTCTCATCCAAGTTTTTGTCATCTCCAGGCTTGATTATCCCAACACACTCCTCACAAACTGAAATCCCTCTCCACCTTCAAGACCTATCTTAAGGCCTATCTGTTCAACCATACTTTGACACTTTTTCCTTCCCCCATCACTATCACTAGGCTCACAGTGTGAAGCGAATTGAAACATTCTCCTGTCATAAATGCAAATGGTTGTTCCAAGGAAAGGATCAGTAATCAATGTAAAATATCTATTCTATTTAATCACAGATACCCTATGCAAAATACCTGCTGTCCAAAAGGTAGTTTGAAATATTTCACATCTTTTGTTAATTTGGGGAGCAACTTATTGAATCCCTTGGGACTGGGAGTAAATAGATAGCAAGTGAAAACAGAAAATCTAATATAGCACACAATCCACAATCTTCCTACATGATTACTATGGGGAAGGGAAGGAAAGGTCAGTTTGGTCACTTGGAAGGTTTTGCATTCAAACATAGATGGATACCCTGATTTGACCGTTTTACCATTGGTAAAATGAGTACCTTTGAGAAGGGGGTGGGGGCAAGAGAAAAAGACAGACAGATCTCTCTACTTATCAAACAGAGAAAGCAAGTAGGCAAGTTAAAGTCCTAACAAACACGGGAGTCCTAACAGGATGAGTACATTACTATACCCAGATTCCTCTTTATTTCCGTCTGTTTCCCTGAATTATGCTTGAAACATTTTACTTCAAACCCAGCATTTTATATTTTGCATGTATCTAAACCAACTGCACAGATTCACAAAGGAGAAAAACTAAAAAAAACTTCTGAATTCAACAATAAAGCACCTTCTTAAGTTAATTTTACACTAAGCTTTACCATCCTTTTTGGGATGGATAGAGGAAGAAAGATTTTGAAAAGAATTGGTTCTACTGATGTAACTACACTCGACATTTGTCAAGGTTAATACTGTTTAAAAGATGTTTGCACAGGAGAAATGTAAGCAACCAAGCAATACAAAAATAGACCAAACACTCACAGTTCGATGGCTTTATTCCACATAATGACATAGCCTGAGAGAGTGAAAGACTCTACATTGACAATATGTACATTGCCTCTTTCTGTGCCAACATATAACCATTTACTCTGGAAGGGCAGATGGCAAAAGGTTATCCTGTAGGGAAGAAAACAAAGTTAAAAAAAAATGAACAACCTAAATACAATATAATTTTCTTCACCTAAAGAATTTAACTTTAAAACAGCTGCCAAATAATTATTTTTTGAAGAAACAGTAATATTGCTGAGCTTGCCACTGGTGACTCAATGTTCTCTTGAGAATCACAAATGACAAACGATCTGGCCAGTGCGTCGTTCTTTTTTTATTTCATATCTCATTCCAGAGTAAGATCCGACCAGTTAGTTTAACTGATAACATCGTTGATGCCACTAAATAGTTATTAGAAGCATGAATGGTTCACAAAATAAAGTACATTCATAGATTAAAATACTATTTGTATTGGTTTACAGTATATACCATTGATTTTGCTTACAATGTAAGACAGCTATAAGGACAGGGAGTGGCTCATAGGTAAAAATACTTATCTCATTTATGCACCCCGTACTAATAATTTTAAGTACAATTTACATTTGTTAAATACACCTTAATTAAAGGGATCCTTCAGCACAGCCCACAAGATAAAAATGATACAAGGTCAGGCCACTGACAAACAGAAGGGAAATCCTTGCATAGTATATCTAATTTTCATGCACTATTTACCCATTAATCTCCCTTCTAAATGCAGTCCCACTAAGCTTGTTTTGCCAAAAACCCAGCAGGTATGTGGTTAAAGACAACCCAGTTTCACTTGCGCTCCTGGAATACTTCAAGCCGTGAATTTCTGCTAAGAAATACAATATTCATATTATACATAGACAAATGACAAAGCCACCTTCCACATGATATTCTAAAAAATACCAAAATCCGTTCCAATACAGTGTGAACTTCTTTATCTTAAGAAAAAGAAGTCTTTTAAGATCCAAGGTAAGAAATGACATAACCAAATACCTTACTGAATTCTTGACTGACTAATAATCCTGCAGCAAATCAGGTTTTTCACTTTATATGAAACACTTCTAAAACTTTAATCAAAGAAATACAATACAAACATACCTTTACCCCCTTCCAACTAAAGAGATGGATTTTAGCTGCCTCAACTGGAAAGGTTTTCCATTCTGAACTAATTTACTCAGAATCTGCTGCGTCCCATTAACCGTTAATACTACAGTACATATCGAGTGATATCTTCATGTCACTATTAGGCTTCTTTAGCCTTTTACTACGTCATGATGCTTCTATTGCACTCAGTGAACCTGCTGCATAACGTTAAGAAGAGTCAAATGCAAACTTTAATACACTGTTCTATGTAGTATAAGCATGAATAGGTAACCATCACTTCAAGGCTGTAATCCTTTGCTGTTTAGGACTTTTGTCCCTTAAATTCCAGCCCTATAACTCCCAATTACTTCATCGAGGACTGGACAACAAAACGTTAATAGTCAAAAGTTGGCGAAGTCATCTCAAATAAAACCATTCATTTTCTCTCTTCTCCAATGCCTTAGAATCAATCTAACAGATTTCCTCTAAACTGCTCAGCAGCCCAGGAATAACTTGGGTCAGTTTATTTTTGAACAGCTACAGCTACATCTGAACACACAACTCAAGTGTTAAAAAATGTTAACAGAAATATACACACATTACGCACCTCCACATAGTTTAAGAACAGTAGACAACAAGAACTGATTCTCCACAGAATGAGCTCAGATATAGTGGACATTTTGGGAAAAAATATATAGTTTCCCGTAGGAATGAAATTACAGCAATAGCACAATCATTTCTAATTAGTTTTGTGAACACATTTATAATGGGCATTCCTCGACTCAATATGTGATCACAATGATTTTAGGATGATCTTAATCTGAATTAGTAATCCTGCAGCGGTACAAGAGATCAAATGCACTTATAGTAAGGATCATGCATAATCAGCAAGATTTGTTTGGAGTTTATAGAAAATACTCATGAAAAAGATATTGATTTCTACAGCACTACAAAAGGCTGTGACCAGCATCTTCGAAAAGAACAAGCAAGGACAAAAAATGAAGTTTTTAAGTGTTCAGAGTGCTGGGCAAACGATCAATAATGCACCAAGCTTTTATATCTTTCATGTTTTTTTCAATGACAGGTTGAACACGCAGTAAAGTGCAGTTAGCTATATTTATCCTGTCATTGGAAATTAGATTTGGACAAAAAAAATTAATAGCTGCATTATAGCAGAGGTAATTGTAAACTCTAACTCCTGTCAATTGTCGTGAACTAGATGAGAATTGGTGCAATTACCATGAATTATACATACTTACCTCTACATGTGTCAAAATTCTAAATGCCTTGTTGGAGCTTGAAGCGCCCCATCTTCTCAGTAAACGGAATTGGTGGCAATGCCTTCAAATAATATGTCAAGAAATCACAAGGAATATATCTACTTCCTATTATTTTCACAAAAGTTGTTTTGATGTTCTGTTAGCATTAAGTGTTTCAGACACTACACAAGCTTTATTAAGCAGTATAATACCGATATAATATAAACCACTATCCAGCCTTAATATTATAACAATCAAAGCTCAAAGCTAATATATATTTCTACTGGAATGCCAGCACACTTGAGTCTGTTTTCACACAAGTCTTCTCTTTGAAATTGTATTGAGTTTTGTTTTAAAATCTATTATGAAGGTTTGCAAAACACAATGGAGCAGAAACAGAAAATAAAAACAAAAAAAAATTAGGTACTGTCCTTGGAGAGTAATGCTTTCCTACTGACAAAAGTTAACCAAATGAGGAAAATGAAACTCAGTCATATCTTGGAGACTCAATACCTTTAGGTATTGTGCTCGGGCCATATTCAGCTACAGCAATCACCCACTAATATACTGACACTTTAAGCTTCCTTCCTGTAGTGAAATTGCAACACTTTGATAAACCACAATCTCATTTTACTTCAAAAACATTAAAACAGGAAGTCTTTCTGTTTATAAACCTTTCAAAAGGTTTTTCAAAACCAATTACAAATACCGAATTAATATGCCTTCCTCCCCACCCCATTTGTCACAACTTTTTAAAAAAAAATTTAGAACAGTTTCATGCTGATGAGTCATTCACCAGGATGTTTCACCGATCATTATCTTAACTGTGTGATATTTCAGCTGCTTTGACAAAACCAAGCTCAGCAACCTCTCTGAGCCGCTTTCCCTCAATAAAGCACCCGCCCTGTTTATTAATGTATTGCTCTCAACAATCGGAAAAAAACACATGTCACCAAAAATATTGGTGATGCTCCCACTTAAAACATTTATTTGTATCCCCAGATGCACAACATTTTGGCCCTTGAAATGGCAGATTTTATCCATTTTAACTCAGTTAGAAGTAAAATTTCAATCAAGTATCGCGTTCATACCACTATATTGTACTTTCCTCAGGATTGAAATGTGTCAGCTTGTGTTTTCCCCTTTGAGGTTAAACAGTGAAATGATGTATCTCTCTCAAGGGTGAAGGGACAGGCCAAACCACGCTTCAGATAAATTATGTATAAATCTACTTCTTGGCCCAGGCCCACCTTTTAGGAACAATACTTTGAAGATTCGGATTTGATCTAGTTTTGCAATCAGGGAAGGCTTGGGATATTTTGTAATAAGACTCACTCTGATCTCGACTATGATTTCCAAGAAAATGCAGATTTAAGGATTCTTCTATAATAATAATAATCCTGGCATTTGATATAGTGCCTTATCACGTCTTCGAGACGTCTCAAAGCTACTTTCTTCAGGAATGAAGAACTTCTCAACTGGAGAAGAGAGATCAGGAATATCTTTGTCCTCTGCTTTGACCTTATATATAACCTTAGGAATCAACAAAGGGAGTAAGATGTAGAAAACAAAAAGAAAACCACCCAGCCTTCAACAACAACAAACAAAATTACATTTCTATAGCGCCTTTCATGTCGGGAGGACGTCCCAAGATGCTGAACAGACAGTTACGGACCTGAGCAGGGGGGGGGCGAAGCAAGGAGATCGAAAACACGGTCGAAGAGGAGGGTCTTCAGATGGGTCTCGAAGGTGGCGAGGGAGGGGGCGAGACGGATGGACTATGGGATGGAGTTCCAGAGGGTGGGTGCAGAGTGGCGGAAGGCCCGCTCGCTGATAGTGGGGCGAGCAAGGTGGGGGACGTGAAGCAGGCCAGAGTCCGCTGAGCAGAGGGAGGGAACAGGGTGGTAGGGGGTTAGGAGGTCGGAGAGCTGGGGGAGCAAGACCAAAACTCTGTGGAGGGCTTTGAAGGCGAGGACCGGGATCTTGAACTGTATCCTCTGTGTGATGGGAAGCCAATGGAGTTGGGCAAGGATGGAGGTGATACGGTCGCAGAGCCTAGTGAGGGAGAGGACATGGGCTGCAGAGTTCTGGATGATCTGCAGCCTGTGGAGGGAGGAGTTGGGGAGGCCGACAAGCAGTGAGTTTGCATAATCGAGCCTCGATGTAATGAAGGCGAGTATGAGAGTTTCGGCGGCCTGCGGTGTGAGACGGTGTTGGAGCTGGGCGACGTTGAGGAGGTGAGGGAAGGCAGAGCAGGTCATGGCACAGATGTGGGGTAGGAAAGATAGTTGAGGGTCAAACAAGACCCCAAGGTTCCAGACTGGCTTAGCAAGGTGGAGTGTGCAACCATGGATGGTGATGCTGTCAGCGCCTGAGGTGAGGAGGCGCTGACGGAAGCCAATCAAGAGAGCTAATCTTTCAATGCTCTTTGAACAGAAACACGCAGTGAGAGGTTTCCAGTGAAGCAAGTTTGTTTATTTCCAGCTAACAATGTTTGTGTGTGTTGAACTATCATTAGAATTAATACATCGGCCACTGCACTGTTCACCGTGTCTAGATGTTAGCCGGGAGAGATATTGAGTGGTCTACACATCGATGAACAATTTGAACATCTCCCTGACCAAGAAAGTGGGAGTGAGTGCCACCCTATTTGTCCACATACTGAGCTGTCTAGGTGCACACTTATTCATAGTGCACCAGAGCTCAGAAATAGCACAATGTTGCATACAGATCAGATGAACTTTGAGGCAATCTGGACAC